TTGTATGGTTTTTATAAGCAAACACGGATGTCCGTGTAATATATCGTAGAAAAAGATAACACGTAAAAAAAAACCGAGTTACCGCAAGTGCCACCAAAAAGGTCATGACCGCAAATGTACCGATCGCAACTGTGCCGACATCCACTGTACACGTTGCACACTTCAGGCTGGTGAAAATTCCAAATGTCTATTATGGTACTAATATTGCGGGTATACTCTGACGAAATCATAGGCGGTAGTATTATAAACTGTATAATTTATAATTTACTGTACATAATAATATTATTTTGTTGCGCAATCCTCATTACCGTTTTGGGTAATGTAATACAGTTAACGCGTATTATTTTATCGAACGTCTAATTACACAAAAACAACAAAAAAAAAAAAAGTCGAAAGTACCTACCTATTTTGCCGGAATCGCGTATTATTTTTCTCGAGTCGTTTAACTTTTTAAGTTCACGTTGGCGTCTCGCATATTATAATGTTTATTATTAAATCAAAATAATGCAAACCGTAATCGCAATCCTCGTCTTAAAGATACGATTTTATATAAAATGGACGCCGCCTATAAGACTCACGGATATGAGATCAGTCGCTTATTAGACTCGAAATCACTTAGAACGGTTTGGACATATCATACATTCTACCCATTCTTCACTTCGCCTATAAGGTTTATTCGGTCATAAGACTCACTTTGTGCTGGTTTCAAAGTGAGTCTTATAAGCGGAGTCCACTATAAATGATTTATCTGGTAATAATATTTTTTTCAAGTTTCTCGTGTGGTTTGGTCCTCACGTGTATATAAAATTGTCAAGTGTCTGTAAAATATTAATATTACTTATTGTACAAATTGTATAGGCTGTAATTTTCGAAATAAAGCTAAAAAAAAAGTTTCTCGTGTTTTTCGACATATTATACAATAATTTAATTTTTCGGAACAATTTGATTCTTGAACATTTTTAACGTGACATTCGATTGGTAATCGTTGGTTTTTATCATTATCGTATTCCATCTGTAAGATTTGTATAGATCAAAATATGTTATTTTCAAATTCGAATAAACAACGTAAATTGTTTATAAACCGCTGAATATTTATAGGATAAAATATTTTATTTTAAACGTGTATATACTTGCGTAATTTTAGATTCTGAGTGAAACAAGGAATGTATTTGGTTTTATGGTTTTACAATGATGTTTATTTTTTTTACTGTGGACAACTTTTCTACCAGCAATTTTGCACCGATTTATAATGAAAGCACATTTTCTAAAAGGAAATCTGACTGGGGAGGTACTTTAGGCAGGCAATTTTTCGATTTTCCAAGAAGTTTTCCCAATAAATTTCCCGGAAAATACATGAGAAAACCATAGGAAAAACGGGAAAATAGGTACAATATTAAACAAATATTAATAAAGAAGATATAAAATGCACATGTAATTATTTTACCATACATATTGTTGATAAAGTTACACTATCAATCGTATCAACTCTGCTCAGAATCCTTTTTTCGTTAGCAATGTGGTTTATCATTCCTTACAAATATACATTAAATGTTCCCTCTACTACCTTTTAAACTTCTCACCTATAACAGTGGATGCACCCGTACTCATCATTAGCCTTGGACAGCTTTTTAAATTTACCACGATCACCGAAATTTTCATATTAGAAAAATGACTTACGCATAATATAGCTTACACGAAACATAAACGTCTGGTTCATTTCGATCCGCACTTATTGATTTGTCAGAGATATCCAATCGTTTTTTTATAAACAAATTATAATATATTACTATACGTTCGTGTACAAAATACCCGAATAGTCGGGATATGCATCGAACACAAATAATTTGCTAATTATTATCTGAACTATCATTTTATTTTTTTTTTTTATTATTTGAAAAATGCAATCGTGTTTTTTTCTCCCCGGAATACCTATTTTTTATTGACCAGTTCTAGGTTCTGTTGGGTTTGTAAAAATTATATAAATTCTCAAAATGCCACAGATTATAATATAATAACGTCTACTCGTAAGTTAGTGTCACACATCTATGCGCTATTATAATATGTTCTTTGCGCGAATTCGATCGGAATTTTCTCGTTGAAAATAAATTAGTTATCAGAACGTCGATTTATGTCGATATGCTTACAAATATAATGTTATTATTGTCTATTATTTCCACGGTATAGTAACGATTCACACAAGTCTTACACATGCATGTTTCCCCGTAGTTATAACAACATAACACGCGGTATTTGCCGTTTGGTATTTTTTTACTGAGTTTTTTACAACGTTGTTAATAATAACGATTAATTACCGTCTGCGCGTTGATAAAATTCTGTCGAGTTGTCGAATTTAAGCTTTATTATTTTGAAACATCCATCGATTGTAGTGTTATAAACTATTATTAAATATTTATCGTTCAAAGTTCAAACCGTTCATCGTTCAAGTTGAGCTGTGCGTTCGACGCACTAAGGGAAAAATGAAAGAAAAAAAAATCGATAGGTATCTCTACTAAAAAAAAAAACAGTTTACAAAACGCTTTTAAAATCCCCTGCGAATCATTGGTTGAAAATTGATTTTTAGAAAATATTCCATAAAAATACGCGGATTTATGCATTTGAAATGTTTAATAGAACTATCTGTCCCGCACCCGGCGTTGCCCGTGCCAATTTTTATTATTATTTTACCCATATTCATGTTTGGTTTTGGCCGTGTCAGAATTGAACGAAAACAAATAGGTGGAAAGTGGGTAATCCACCTTCGGCGGACTAATTAATGTGTTCTATTGTGAAATTCGAATAGTGTAAATAATAGTAACAATAATAATTATAATAGTTGTGTTTTCCGTGGCAATCCTTGAATGAACAAAAATAAATAAATAAGCAATTTTCGTACCAAATATACCTAAAAACCCCTATTTTACCACTTTAGGCGTTGCATTTTCAAAATCCCATTCTAAGCGGAAACCTACGTTATAATAACTATCTGTGTACCAATTGTTAGCCCGATCCTTCCAGTGGTTTGGGCTAGGCGTTGATGAATCAGTCAGCCAGTCAGTCAGGACATGTTATTTTATTGTATACAGATAGATATCTAAAAAACTGACACGCAGCAGATGAATATATTTAGATAAATCATATATATTTGTTTCGAAACCGAATTCGTTGTTACATAATCCTATGTAACATGTTCTACATGCGTAATATGCATATGCTATTCGATCGGTGTACCAAGAAACAGGGGCGGTTTCAGAGACACGGTTGGGGGTAGGGGTAAGTTGTATTATTCAGAAAACATTATAAAAAGCTTTTTTTTTAGAAGTTTATTTATACTTCGTATAGTATATATATAGATTGCACGTATTCGCCTCTAACTATACACTTGTACGTGTCTGCAATAGTCAATAGTATATAATTTTTATTTTGTATAGTCGTTTTTAACAAAAATAAGGGCTTGGGTGGGGGCTGTGGCCCATAAGCCCTCCCCGGAGTCGCCTCGGCCAAGAATGTATTATGTTTTTCAATAAGTGTGAAAAAAAATGTGTTTGCTTCAAATTTGTTTAATTTTATTTAGATACATACAACTCGAATTCAATTTTTTTTAGTCTTATAATTAACTGTTTTAGTTTCATAGTTGCTTTTTTCGCATTGTGTTGCTACCGGAACTAACTATATAAGACTGTTTGCAAAATTCTAGCTCGATTGGTCAAACGGAAAATAGGTCGAATTTCAATTACAAAAATTTGACGCACACAGACGGGATTTCGAACACAATAATACTATTTATCGCCGTGATTCGAAAAGTGACCAATCATAAAAGATTAAAAGCATGTTTAAATGCTAAATTTCATCCCTATATCTATGTAATAAATTTATCCAAAAATGTCCCAATTGATACATAGATTAGTGGAAATTCTTAGCGTATAATTCTTGATTAAAATTGACATTTTAAAATAATTTTAGTTGACGGTGACGCTTTGAAATGATGTACTTCTACCCCAGTATATAGGGATGTTAACTAATGTTAAATAAATTCAGAATCCTGTTTGTGACTAAATGACTGATAAAGGTGTACACTAGCATTATTTATCTTACGTTTTCAGATTCTGAGTGTAGCGAAGAAGTGTATTTATTTTACTATGAGGTGCGTTGCATTTCCTTTGAAATTCTTAAAAGAGGCAAATTTTTTGCCCGGTGGTACTTTATTTGAAAAATATTTCGATATTCCTAATGTTTTTTTATAGTTTTTTTACGCTCCAAATTTTTCACCGCGCATTAATCTCAAAAGATGCCCGGTAGTTTGTTTGGACAAACGTCTAGATTTCCGACAATTTCTCTTCAAAAACCAACCAACAACAATTAATTTCGAAACGTTGGTTTTATTCGTTTGTTGATTACTGGGTTACCTTGGCTACGGAGCAAAACAAAAAAAAAAAAAAAAAAACATAATAAACCACAACTAATGCACTACTAATACTACGGCAGCGTTCAGAATCGTTCGAATTCTTTTCTTTTTCGTTACATTTGTCGTTGCGTATATGAACTAAACCGCCCCAAACTACAATCGATCTACAACAGTGGTGGTCTTCCCGTGAGCGTGTTTGTGAAATTTGAATAGCGACGCGTGTATTTTTTTCTGAAAAAAAAACGCGTAATATTACGCGTATACGATATTGTAATGTTGCCAATTATTGTTATTGCCTAAACGACATTACTACCATGTACGGTAGACAAATTAGAATCTAATAAATAATAATAATAATACTTACTAATAATAATTGTTGTTATAATGTTACCCGATCACAATGTCGTGTCATTGACTGCGGTGGATTAACTAGGTACCTATATATACTATTATACGCGTACCCCCTCCTTTCGTATACCTGGGCAGTGTACGACGTTACCTAGTGAATTGTGGGACACCGCTAGAATTCTAGACTAGCACGTTTTTTTTTTTTTTTTTTTTTTCAAATCGGACGTATCCACGATGTTTAGTCGGTTCGGTGACGGCGTGGCGTACGGACGACCGTTGCAGTGGTGTGACTATTATTGTTGTTTTTTTTTTTTTTATAAAGAAGAACGTACGTGTGCAAATTTTATCATTCCTACATTATATTAGCCCGTGTCAATCGATTATAAACGTTCATTATAAATTATAATACTGTTATCTATCGTATTAACTTTCTGTTTTCCAATCGCTTTGTCGCGTCTCGGTTTTCTTCTGTTTAACGCGCGCGATGGTGTTGTTCGTGTTATATCCGTGAGACAGAAACAAAAGAATACTATTATTATCATTATCGTTTCCAGACGAGTATAACATAGGTGTATTATTACACCTATATATTATTGTAATTGTCATCGTGCAGCCAGTGTCTACATCGTTCGCACATCGCGGGTCTATTGAAAATACTAATCGCTGTTGGACTACACCGTACAATAATCAATCCGGGTACTTATATTAAATATTTTGTGTAGTATTGCCATCTATATATTATGTGGGTGTACGGAATTATTAGGAACGTTTTTTTTTTACTTTCGGTCGAGTTGACGGGTTTAGACGATTCTTCAAGTTCTTCGATTCCACATAATACCTAGGTAGGTGTTATAAATGGACGGATTGAACACGATAATCACGCGAACGCGAATTATTGTGTGTAACGAACGCGAAAAACGAATGTACGTTTAACTCGATTATTATATCACTCGACATAAGCTAACTAATTATGGATCGCGATTTAGACGGTGGCGTATTTACGGGGAGAGGTTATAGGGAGATATACATTGCTCTGCTCCATCGAATCTATTATTTACACGACTCTCTGTTTTGAAATTCGAATGCCTTTACTTTTTAGCCAAAAAAATCAAACTTTTGATGTGTCTCGGATCGTATATTATACATTTACTTGTTCAAACCACTGCGATATGAGGGAGGTTAGAATATATATTGTAAATAAATGTATAATTATATTATTTCCCTAGATATGTCTAGAACTATAAATTACTTACAAAAATTAGTTTTTTTTTTTTTAGTTTATTTGACAAAATTTTCAAATTAAAAATCTCCCTACTTGGCAAAATTCTAAATGTGCGACTGAATTTAGCGTAATTCTAGAGACGTATTTTCATTTTTGGCGCCTCGGGGTACTGTTCCTCTAGTGCCTTTTTATACTGCACACTTGATATTTTTATTGTACACTTTGTGCTCTAAATTTTATTATTTCAAGTCCCGCTGAGCGATTGTAAACTGTGGAATGGGATTAATATTTTTTAAAAAAAACCTAATATTTATCATACCTACATTCAAATATTACTATGCCCCCCCCCATTGAAATTTGGTGCCCGGATCAATGCACCCCCTAACTTCCTTCATAGACGTCCTTGACCGTAATATTATTATTGAATTATACACTCCTTAGATATAAATAAATTATTAAGTTTTGGAACAGTATAGTATAATATTGTAACCGGTTCGTAAAAATAAAATAAAAAGTAATTTCTAGCATTATTTATTTACTTTAACAAATCGATAATTACGTTTTTAATGAAAAATGTTAATTAAACTCAATTGTATAGGTAGTTAAAACAGTGTAAAAGTGAAATTACAAAAAAAGTTACAAGTTATCTGTCTGTTAGTACATTCCCAATTTTAATATAATTTTAATGGTGAATTAATGTTTTTTTTTTTTTTTTTACAATGTATAGGTATTCTTCGTAGCAAAATGGATATTTTCGGGTATTAAAACGGCGGCTCATAATATAGCCATCTAATCCGTAATGGTTAGATTCGTAATTAATTATTAGACATGTCCGAGTGGGTATTCGTAAATGTATTCATAGGACCTTAAAAATGATTAAGTAGGCATTATCTATGGAATCATATTTTTCACATATACCGTGTTTGAAAAACCTACACACTCGAATAACACACATTTATTTAAGTATACGCTACTGTGTACCTGCATATTATAGGTATACAGTGTGTTAGTTCCCGGAAGACATATATGATTCATTTTCACGTTTTTTTTTTTTTTTCAAAAATAACAACAGTAATTGTTTTTTAATAACCCTACACAATCCATGGCCCTGAGTTACTACTATATACTTCACCTGTTTGATGATGATATCGTATTGTTTTGTTTTTTTTCTCGATTTATTTCCTAGGTCAAACATATATTGTAATATAATTTGTTTTCTTTTATATATTATGATGTTATGTTATACATTATATTATTCCTGCATGAATAAATAATATTAACAATAATATATATGTTTTTTTATATTAATCATATTATTATTATTATTATTATTATTATTATTATGCAGGCTGGTATATTTGTTAATTAACTACGTTGGATTTTAATTAAATTTTATTACTTTTGGGAAAAAAAACAAATATTGAAAAAAGGATATTAAGTAGGGTAGTATATTATTATTATGTTTTCGGCGGAACTATAAGAAAGTATGCGTCAAATCTAGGTTTTTATTGCCCAAGATTTATAATACAATAATATAACAAATTGTTAAACGAAGAAAAAAAACCGATTTTTTTTTTTATCACGATAAAAAAAAGTATTAAAATCAGATGGAAAACATTACGTTGCCTGTTTTTATTGTGATAATAAAATCTTACAAATTAAAATATAATATAATATAAAAACAAAATATATAGGTATAATATAATGTATATATATGAAAAAAACGTCCTTTGGCCTTCGAATAAAAACGTGCTAATTTTTTTGTTTAATAAAATCCATTATATAATTCTATATCATCGTTTTTCCCTTGTTTGTGTATTATTGTAAATATGTTTTCCTCGTACGTGTATTAATAACAACAAAATATTGTATTGATATTATGTTATTTTTGTTATATTCGAGAACTTATGTAAAATAGCGTAAAACACTAATTCCGACGTTATTATTTACTACAATATAGTGGCCGACCCGGTATTTTTCAAGATGGATGTCCACACATATCTACATTAAAAAAAAACACGTATTAAATACATTTTTATCAGTTTTAAACGAACGGATAGGTTGTCCAGACACCCAAAACACCCCTCTGGTTGCGTTACTGTTACCCATGTAGGCAGTGGCGTAGTTCTTGGACTAATTATTATCAATGGGAGTGGACGTAGTGAATAATTATCATGTGTGTAAATCATATAGAATCTCTTCTTCTGTATACCTAACTCGACAGTGAGAATTTATAAAATCCCGGGTCTAAAAAACGAATTTTTTTTTCATAAAAATCAAGCTCGAAATGTATTATACATTTCGAGATTAGTTTACCATATGAAAATATGCGTAGTTTTTGTATTATTTGTAAACCAATGTAGAGGGAGTGTAATCACCAATCCTTTCGCCCATTGCACACCCTACTGTGTAGGTAGGCAGAACTAAAAAATGAACTTGTAACATGAAACATAAAAATAATGTTTTATAACCAAATTTAATCGAACCTCCAGAGTTTTGATTTAGACATTTCGTAAAACGAGTGGCTCGAAATTATACCATGTTCCAATTGGAACGCGTTCCTTACCATCACTGATTCTTTTACATGATTGGTAATCCAATCATAAAAAAAAATGATTGTTAAATATAATAACTAATAACTAATAAGCATAATACAACACTAAAAATTACACTGACCCATAGATCTAAAATTATTAGCGTTAGTTAATAGAGTTTTTATCGATATTTTTACACCATTTACCTATCTAAATTTCCATTATTTGTGTACAATATTATAAAACATCAATACGATATTCATTCCATACGTGATATAATAATAAAGTACCAAGAATTACCTACACAAATTTACACAAAAAATAGTCTACATTGGAATACTATGAGGAATAAGTCGAGTCTAGAACGACGTTTCTGTTTGAAACATAATTCGATTTGAGCTCTTTTGTTTTTATAACGGTTTATTGCTATTGTATAAACTCTCCAAGTCCCTAAATGTACTCGTTTGTAAAGTGTAAACTCCTCTAAACAATTATTATCTATATAAATTTATAATTTTTGACGTAGGTAACAAAATGCCAATCACAATAATATAAAATGTACCTCGTCAACTATATAGGTTCATGTGTAGCTTATTAAATATTTACCCCTCCCCTCCCCCCTTTGGGTCCTGCAGGATGGGCATCATAGTCCGCTTTTATATTGTTCATAAACTCCCTTAACGACAATCTAATTACAATTTGTTCATGCCAATATTTCCGTTTATAAACTAAAGATTATACAAGAAAACGAATTAACAATATTAATGCAATATTATTGCAAAAACACATTATATATGCTCGGGTCGCCGTCATTAGATTTCGCATACGGGGCGAAACGAAAGGCGTAGCTATACTTTTGTTCAGTAGGTACGTTTTAAGACACTGAGTAAATTATTATTATACTTTAAAATGTTTCATATTCCTATACGTGGGCCTAAACGTTTATACCGAGGCGATACAGTAGCTACGTCGAGCATAGGCTAGGGGCTTTTATCCCCTCGTCCGCTGTTTTAAACAGCGTGCCGCCGAAACAATTGCGAACCCGAGTTGTAAAAAATTGAAATTGCCCACGGGGTTCGTCTGAGTCGCTCGTCCACTTACGTCGACGACACAGCAGAGCACAGTGTACGAGCACAGTGTACGAGCACAGTATTATGCACTATACATCACTTGACGTGCGAAGTACGTTAGCTTTTTAAAATATTGAAACTGCGTACAATATATACGGCGGCGGAGATGGTTTTTGTTTCATCGTGTACCGTGTAGGTACCCTATGTTACGTATAACATCGCTAAAAAAAAAAAAAAAATCATTCCCACTCATATATTGTTGCGCTGTGTATACTGCTCTTCTGAAAAAATAAACTTCGGGTCCCGCTTACACTCCGTGTACCTACACACATATAATATTAGGTATGTTATTACCGTACAATAACACTTGTTTTATTTGTTTATTTAGGTTTTTTTCGATTACGTGCTATCGCAACGTTATCGAAGTACACCCCGGGTACCAATTGTCTTTACGGCCCGCTCCGTCGCAACGGAAATTATTTAATAATATTATTGTCGAAACTTTTGATTCATTTTCTAACTACGAGTAGGAGGTACCCATACCGATAACGGCGCGCGGTCAACAACGACGATATAATTCACCTGCGGCAGTAGTGTGTTTAAAACACCTGTATTTTTTTTTTCGCGCGATGACGAATAAAATAAAACATCGGTATTCGCGACGTACGATTTTTTTTTTTTATAACATATTGTTCGTGTTGGAGGGGAGCGAGGGGGGGGTGACAAATCAAGTACCTATATAGGTATAGTAATTTAAAAAAATGATTTTACCAAAAGCATTACGAACAGTGATTTAACAGCAGCAATTAACGTTTATTTTTTCGTAAATTTTAATTTTACAGATTTACGAGGTTTTAACCGTTATCCGCGGCAGCGCAGTAATACGCGATACATATATTCCAGGGACCGCAATCGAATTTATTATAATGTTATCAACCGACTTGGCGAAATTTTTAAAATCAAACCCGCCTAAACAATATGAAATACCTATATCACGCGTCGCGGAATGATAATTTAAAAAAATAATGTACAATATAATCTATACTTTCTACTCTGCGGATTGTTGCGTCACAACATAATTAGTACCTATATATAGGTAAGTACTGTAAACTATTGCTATAAGTACAGCAGCGAATGGCTGCCCGTCTAATTCGAAAAAAAAATAAGATTACAAACAAAATCCCGCGTACACGTACGGGTATACTATACGTACGGTCCTATTCAGCGGATATCTACTCGCAGTGATGTATAAAATAACGATCATCGATTTCATATGCAGTAAAATATCACCTATATGACGTGTATAATGTTATAGCCGGTGTTTGGTCTATCTGATATTATAATATGACGTATATAGTGTCATTATAATATTATTAGGTGCCTACAACACCGCTGCATTATAACGGTTTTCTCGCATACGAGACGGGTAGACGAAAATCGATTTCCAAGACTCGCGCATTATTACTATACATTGTTGTAATATTACTATCGACGACGACGACGAGTACGTGTGTGCGAGAATTCGATTTTTTTAAACTCGATTTATATTAAAAATAATACAATCCGGTTTAAAATTATTAATGTTATATTAATAATATAGGTACCTCCTAATCAATATAATGTACACTCGCGTATACGTACTTGAATAATTTGTTTTTTTCTTTCCCGACTAGATACGATTTTAATAACGATTCTATAGCGTTTATATTAGCGGGCGTCGTTCGATATTAAAGTAAACATTCGAAGTATTAAAATCCGTCGTAAGCAGATAAGTCTCATATAAGAGGACGTGACGCTCGCGTGTTCACGAAATGTAAAAACGCTTCTCGGAATACATCTCGGTCGAAAATTAAAATATCAAGAAAACTGACTCTTAAACACAGATATAATGTTCTTACCTTTAAGTTTGATAATAGGTTAATTCGTTCTGATATTAAAACCAACATTACGAAATTGTCCCTAAATTCGTTGTGTCGTGCGTTCGTAAAACCGAAATAATGCATACGGATATCACGTTTTCTCATGATGCGAAAGGGTGGCACGAGGGGCAATTATCCTCCCTTCCTAGTCGCACAGACGTAGATGAATTGAAAAATGATCATTAAGATGACGATACGTATGCATTTGTTGTTTCCGTCTTACAAACGCACTATATAGTTATAACATGCGCTTACGCAGACTACACAGACTCGCTTAATTTTGGTTTTAGAGTAAAAACAACTATTATAAAATCAAAAAAGAACAACATTGCGGAGGGCAAGATGTTGCGTTTTTTTTTGAAAAAGTCAACTTACCGTTTATAAACAACGAGTTTTTTGAAAATTTTTTTAATTCGCTAAAACTTTGAAAAAAAAAATAACTTTTTTTTAAAATACCTCAAAAAAAACCACAACGTCTTGCCCTCCAGAATATTGTTCTCTATTAATTTTATTATAAATGTTATAATTCTGAAATCAAAACCAAGCGAGTTCTGTATAGTCTGCGTAAGCATGTTTTTAGCATATATATCTTGTGTTTGTAAGAGAAACAACAAATTATGCTCGTGTGACGTGCTCTTAATAATTTTGATTACTAACGGAAATATCGGGGTACATCCCATTTTACTCCCTCCTCGAATTTTTGTCTGTGAGCTCCCTTTCGTTCTCTTGCCGGGTGTTCGTTATTTCACATTGCACATTTCACATTGATGTATTGCATAGTTTTACTGTAAGTTTTTTAAGATATTTTAGTATAGGTAATTCGCTATCACGGTTTATAAACTCCATAACTTATTAAAATATATTATAAACTGCGCGTCATGGTTTTAAATATAATCATACATTATTAAGAGGATATTTAAAACGTAAAATATTCGTCTTTTAAAATTTTTTTTTTTATTATTATCATGGCGTGGGGTAGGGGGTCAGTGTCCGTACATACCTCCAAGACACTCGGCGTGTACCTGCTGCAGTATACTTTTATGGAATTATTCTGACTCAACAAATATTATTTAATTATATATAATATAATATATGAACGGTATAATAATAATAATAATACAACAGTTAGGTGTACGCAAACGTTTACATAATCTATCAAATTAAGTATTAGGCGTAATGACTCAACGCCAGTCACTAAAAATATAATATCGCGTGGATCACGATGACTTTGGTTTCGTATAGGTACCGTCGTTTTTAAGTTTCGAATTTAATTTCGTCTTCTCCGCGTGTGTTTGAACACGCGAATGATTTATTTACATGTATTATTTATTTAAATACATTATGACCGTCATAATATTGTGTAATGATTTTGTTCCGAAAATTTCCGTAAATACTTCATAATGTGTATCCGTAAATCAGTGTTTCCCAACTTGTTTTACTCACGGAACCTTTTCAGGAATTTTAATTAATTTAATTTTTGCGGAACTCCTATTTTTTTTTTCATAACCACAATGCAGACATATTTTTTGGATACTCAAATGAGTAATGTACAATCCAAGACTTCCGGCAAAAATGTGAGTATCGTTAATAAAAAAAAGACGTCCTATAGGACAAAAGGTCGGGTGCAACCACTGTTATAAGTAATTTAATGTATACCTATAAGCAGCGATAAAGCATTGCTAACGAAAAAACAATTCTGAGCCGAGTTCAGTTGATAGTGATGCATTGTCAACAATATTTATCATAGTAAAATAATAAAATAGGCATTATATACTTTCTTTAGTAATATTTGTTTAATGTATCGTTTTACCCACGTTTTTCCGGTTTTCCTATTTTTCCGAATTTTCACATTTAATGAGAAAACTCTTGAGAAAATCGAAAAATGACCTTCCTAAAGTTCCTCCCTATACCGATTTCTTTTCAGAAAAGGTGCTACACTTAAAAAGCAAGATTTCTTGTCGAAAAGTTGTTCACAAGAAAAAAAAATAAACATCTTTGTAAAAACCATAAGCTTTTTCGCTTCACTCTGAATCTAAAAATAATAAAATCTAGAACGATTTTTAAAATTTGTATTTTGTTAATATCTATCTATTACAATATTATTAATGTACATTATATCAGAGCTTAGAATAATATTAATCTCTCATTATGTCAAAGATAGATTTAATGAGAAGATTAGAATATTTCCATAGTTTTCTTCATTATTGTAATCAAATCCGGAGATATTCCTGAAAGTTGGATTCGTAAGTCTGGAGCAACATTCAATTGATTTCGAAACTTTTTCTTTGTTTTTTTTTTTAAACTGTACAGCTTTACGGATAATTTTTTGTGTTCACTTTACACGGTGTTCTAGAAATCCTCAATTTTAATTATAAAAAAATAATCAAATCGAAAATGTTTACTAATTTATTTTTCCCGAATTTCTCTTGGCACTCTTGACGGTAGTTCACTGTACCATTGGGTTCCGCGGAACAACAGGTGGGAAACACTTCCGTTTATTATCGTAGAACTCACTTTTACTAGGTACTTATTTACGTGTTTTATCTTCCAATGTTATTAAAACTAGTAAATTTCGTTAGTTTTCGTTTATTTTTGCGATATCATTATTTTTTACGATGTCTCGGTCTATACAGGATATAATATTTAAAATGTTTTATTCGTCTTTCGTTTATGGCGGGGTCTTTTTTTTTTGTAATAATCTGTTCATACTCCGTAACACGATTTTGATTACGTTTGCAACTATCGCCGTTTACTAAAGCGTAATATTGTGATATATGTACAATATTTAGGATTTTCACAAAATCGCGGAAAAAAATTATATATTTGTTTTAAATTCTTTTAATAACCGTCGAACCACGGTTATAAACTGACTGTTGAACATTATTTTTCCGGCAATGATCTTATTATTTAGATTGAATTATAATAAGCATTTGTTTGATGTTAAATTATATTTAGTTTGATCAAATATTATACGTACATTCGTATTTTATTTATGTAACGTTTAAATTCTTTCACTTAATTACTAAATATTTACACGACGTCTAAATATAAAGCTTACGCGATATTGATTTGTGTAGTTTGCGCCGTTTAAACAAATAAAAAGTTTCGAATAGGTATTTATAAGTATTTATACACTTAATCTAAAACTGCAGTTTAATAACATACATGTATGTTTATAAACATACATTTAATATTTTGTGTAAGTGATAAAAAGTTGCAAAATACAATTACAAAGCATATATTATATTATATAATATAGAGACATAGAATATTTTAATTTATATCTGTGTTCGAGATAAATCACTGGTAACAAAAAATGATTTTGATTGAAATTCGATTTTACATGTTTGAAATACTGTCATTTTTATGTTGTTTATATTGAACTTTAAGGAATAAAAAAAAATGTCTACGATACAGTCAAATTTTAGATTTTGAGCGAACGAGGAATGTAATATACATATATATGTGTTACTATCATGTATATGTTATAGATCTATCCACATAAAACCAAAAAAAAAAAAAAAAACTAAAAAACAAACGGCTATAAATGTAGCTCAAAATTTGACAAAATATTTTAAACATTTTACTACTTATAAAAAGGGTTAGTATAAATAGTTGCTGAAAATTATAAGTCTCCTACCGAATGACAACAAATAAAGTCAAAAATAACGGTTTCCGTCATTGCGTACGTATATTTTTCAGTTTTTTCCAATTATTAAGAAAACTAGAAAGAAAATGACCTCAGTACACCAATTAGACAATATTCGCTACCAGCAAACTACCCTTAAAGTATGGAAAAGTTGACAATAATTGTGAGAAAAATTAATTTATTCTTGTAATCGGTAATAAAAAAAAATGCTGAGTAGTTGGAAATAGTAGTTAAAAGCGAAAAAAAAGTTTAAAAAATGAGTCATATTTGTGTCTGTACCCCTCCCCCTCTCCCCCCGTAATAATTGCTTGTGTTGCGTGTCGGCACTGCTCTAGAGTCGATGATTGGGATAAAATTCCTTGTAAAGAAGTTTGTTCAAGACAGACAAAAAATACATCTTAGTAAAATCAATACGATACAATATTAATACAATCCTCGTCTATTAGAAAACCAGCATAAAATACAGGTGAATTTTTTTATTATGAACCAGAAATTATCTCAGAGAATTTAAAGTGAATTTGTTTTATGTTTTTTCTAATCATTATGGAATCGTTTAAGCTTTATTTTAAAACTATTTTTAATTTTTACCCCTACTCCATATACCTTAAATAAGTGCATACTTTTGATTTGATCTCCGGAGAAGACTGGAGGAGACTCCGGTTTAACTTTAAACTGTTATAACTCGTAAACGGTAAATCTGATGTTAGTGTTATGCATATCGATGTTTCTAGAAAATATTCTCTATTCAAATCTGTGTTCAAAGGGGGGAGGGGTTCCTATTTGAAAATCAAAAGTATGCACTTATTTAAGGTATATGGAGTAGGGGTACAAATTAAAAATGGTTTTAAAATAAAGCTTAAACGATTCCATAATGGTTAGAAAAAACATAAATTAAATTCACTTAAAATCTAAGATAATTGCTGGTTCATTCAGTATATTCATATTCATACGTACATATGTACTCGTTTAAATATTTTGTTCCTGACGAATGGTACTCAATATTTAATAAGAAAACAAAACGGACATACGCCACACGATGGGTGGGCCACTGCAGCCCACTGTTGTAGATGAGAAGTATGGAAGATAGGGGGTATGTATATTTGTACGCAACGGTTAATCATTGTTAACGAAAAACGATTCTGAGCGGAGTTCAGTTTTACATGTTTTATATTTACGATTTGAAAATAATACATTTCGTAAATTTTCCCGGTTTTTTTCACGTTTTTCCAATTTATTATAAAAACCCTTGAGAAAAAAAAAGACCTTAAAATAGTATCTCAGTATTGGAGGGTGGGGTTGAAAGAAGGTTTAATTACCACTATAAATTATTGTCTAAAACTTAATACTCAATTGAATATTGTATTCCATTACTTCCGTTGATTTGAAATTCTCCACCGCCCCTTATAAGAGTTAGGATATATATTCGTCACTGCAGTAACTATATTTCTATAATTAAGTATTCGTAAAAGTACAGATTCCGAATGTATCGGCGAAATAGACTCTTCAAACATAATAATATAGACAATGGGAAAACAGGGGAAAATGTTTATAGATACATCATATACCTATTATTTCCGATGTATTGAACAACAAAAAAATAAAGGAAATGAAAGTAAAAGCGAATATTTATGCCGAATCAATATTGTTGGTTGGGTACAATTGCTGTAATACCAAGTTATTAATAATTCATATATTTAGCATTTTTTTTTTTTCGAATAAAAATTATGATTACAAACGGAAATCCGAGAATATATAATTGCAAATAATCATGTAGAAACTATGCACGTACATGTATATATTTTTTTTCGTCAATAAATAGAAACCGATGTTAAGTAAAAACTCAAATGTATTGTTATACTGTGAGGGTTTTTTTTGTTATATACATATATAACATTATCGTAGTAAATTATTGATGAATGGTAAATATCTAGTAGTGCGCACTGTGTATATATTTATATGTATATATCGTATATATAGGTGCACAAGTATAACAGTTTTTCCTAACAAAATATTATTATAATAACAATAATATAATATGTAAGTAGATGCAGTCCGTTACATTATTGTGCAATAGACACATTTATTGTTCTGGTCGATATCACACACGCCGCGGTCTATAGCTGCTCGCGGTGCCACAAGCCCGTGCAGTTGTTAACCATAAAGACACCTGTCATGCTCACCCGATATGTCGTTTTTCGTATACCTTGTAACCGTTAGCTGCTATGCTAGTGGTCGGCGTTCGAGTAGTATACCTACGTGGGCACGCATATACCTATACATCCGAATAATATTGTTCAGTAGCGTAAAATGAAAAATAAAAAAAAAAAAATTACCGACGGTTAACGGTCGTCAACTTTTCTAGGGAATGAGAGAGGGAGAGAAAAATGTTTTTTTTTTTTAATTAAAAACCCGGGCGAATTTAACGAATCGATTCTGTACATTTTATACGTTATATCATTATTTTCTCTTCACTGATGCAGTAGCTAGCAGATAATATAGAAGTCGTTTCTCTGTTATTATACCTATATACGTATATATAATAAGACATATTCTTGAGTTAAACGAAAGCGATCCTTGGCGGCATCACGTTGACGAATAATGTTTTTCGCCGCACAGCCAAAACACAAATCGGCCGTGAAATAAACTGCGGAAACGTGCGCGAAATGCGATTTCCCGTGACCAAAACCGTTTCACTAGGTCAAAGGTCCCCGTCGACGCAATAATGCGTGTGTTTGGATATTTTCGCGATTTCGGTTTTCATATTTTCTTCAAGAACTGCTTTTGGTGTATAATTAAAATTATTATTTTTTTGTGTTTCTATATATCTTAGTTTTAACGAAGCACTAATCGTTTTGAAGACAAAATCTATTCAAATACCTGCAAATATATTATAATATATAGGTATTCTAGTAAATCTCATTATTTTTCGTTTCTGAACGCGGCTAGGAGTATAATAATTCAGGCACATCAATATGTTACACATCGATTCGACAAGATATACTTGGATTATTTTTTGAAAACGTTAAACGCGTACGTCACGCTGTCGTAGACGGTGAAATCGGAAGAGCAATGAAGTGTTATTAAGCAGACAGTTTGAAAGATTTGAGTTTTCATAGAGAAACACGGACAGTTGCGACCAACCTGTCGAAAGACGAATAATATTACCCACCCCGCAGTTTATCAGTATTATTATTTAAAAGACGGCGTATACTTCACACCACGGGTAGGCCGTTGTAGTAGGTGGGAAGTTTGAAAGGTATACAACTCAATTGATCAAGGTCACCGAGATAGCAAACACAATAAAACCGACATACCTACCGACATTTGTTTTCAGTTTTTTTAAAAATATTTATTTTTTAGAAATATGGCATGAACAAAATCGGAACATTTTTACTAAACCAAAAAATACACTTTTTCGATAAAACAAAATACATACATACTCACACGTATCAGTAAAACCTAATAGTTTCTTCGTTGCACTAAACTAATCCGCAAGACCAGCATAATTATCATTGAAATTACAATCTGTACAATCATCTATACATTTAATGTACAATATTTATTTGCGTTAGTCGTTTTTAATTTATTATCGTCGTGTAATATTTTATTTTAACACGACCTTACATTTTATGGTCGGTGAGGCTACTGTATCTATGGTTTTTTTTCTGTATTATTATCTCAAATAAAATGTGTTAAGGACTATGGACTACCGTTCTTATCTTGTTAATTTCTAATATATAATTACACATATTTACGATTTATTATAATTCATAATACTTACTGATACATAATTATAAAATTCTAGATATTATAATATACGTATTATAAAACAAGTTGATTATTATCATTATTATCTTATTATCATTATCGCTCATTATCTCTGAATGTTTTAACCTTTTTCGTTATTTGTTTTATAGAACATTTAAAATACAAGCATCCCTACAATTTTACATTTACGTTATTTTTTGTCACCCTTATTTTTGAGGATAAAACCACTACCTACTTTGGATTTTCAAATACAAATATACAATAACAATTTCCTAAATCGATGGAGTATTAGTTAAAATAAATCTTAGTGTTGCCATTTATGATTTCCGTCAATCCATTGACGAAATATTCTACTTAAGTTTGGCTAGAGGGAGAGTATAGTGGTGTATAATTAACACGCCGCGTGCTGTGCTGCCACAAAATTGATGCTTCACCACTCTCCTTCGTCATCGGGTTGACGGAAATTAAAAATGTCTACACCAAAATTTAGCATAATTAACTCTCCATATATTTGTGGAATTTTCAGTATAGATTACTATTTGAAAATCAAAATTAGATAGTGGTTATACTCCCGAAAATAAGGGTGAAAAATAAACGTAAATGTAAAATTGTAGAAGGGTTTGTTTCTTAAATGTTCTATAAAACAATAATTCCGAAACAAGTTAATACTTTACGATATAATGAACGTATCTACTTAAATGGACCACCTTGTATATTACGAGGACGAATTAATGTGCATCTGTCTTACAAATGTCCCCCTCATAATAGCAATTTTACGTTCAGCAGGAACAACTTTGTGCTGTTAGTATTGACGTTATAGCGATTAGTGGCCATCATTAAATTTATCAAACTGAAAGATGAAAACATTATCTGTTCGATTAGGTCGGTTTGATGTTTTAATTAATTTGTATTTGAGATATGCGAGTACGTGAAAAATCGAAGTTTAAAAATGCTTATTTTTATCCCCTTTTAAAAATTAAAATATTGATAAAAATAAAACACCGGCGTTGTTGAACTGATAACGCTCTTATCGTTAATAATTTAGTAACAGGTCATTTCGCTCTGTAATATTAAAACAAACAGTGCAAAATTGTCCCGGCTTAACAAAATTTTGTTGTCATACACTCGTACGTTTGTAAGCATAATAATACGTACCTATACGGATATCACGTCAGGACGTATTAATATTAGTATCAAATTATAAATTATTTCTCGATTGGATGCATATAATATTAAAATATATAATAAACAATTTATAACTTATATTGATTTTCTTATTCATAGTTGCAAAAAAAAAAAATCAAATATAACAGGCGGTGTGCACTATTGACATGTTTTATTTTTATTTTTCATAATTTTCGTGTGTTTAACTTTTTTTTATAATTATTACGAAAAAAAAAAAATTGTAAATTATCGACAAAATTATACTATACCGTCGTGAATGGTATGACGTTATAGTTTATTATTATTTACATTTTAAATTTATTTTGATGTGGGTGTACAAAAAATATAATTGTTTTTCTTCCAAACTCGTATTATGATGATTAATTTATATACATCAAAACTGTCGCAATGATATGATTATGTTATTATTATTATTTTTGTTCAAATCGACGACTTCGGAATAACAACCAGATTCAAAATATATTTTTCGGGAGCGATTATTACTATTGTTTTTTTTTCCGATTGTCGTCCGTGAGCATAATATTATAATATCTGATTTGATGATATCGTTGTATACACTCGGCAATTACATGGAATTTTTTTTGTCGTTGAATTATCCCGCCGTGCATTATTTTCGAAAAAAGTCGTCAATTCGCAGGATGTTCAGTGTCCTATATTTCTGTGGCTTAGTGCAAGAAGAGCTAACGTCACATTTTGTGATTATTGGGAAATGGGCTTTGAAATTCTAATTCCTCATAAAAGGCTCTGTGTATTTTATTAAATGTAAATGTTGTTTGTGTGATCTTTAATTTTTACAAAAACTTAAACAATTTATAGCCACAGATTTATACTTATATTTATTTACTTACGTCTCAGCGGGCAATTTCAGAAGGAGTTTATGTAGTGCTGTACATAGAGAATAACTTAAACTTTGGTTGAATACTTTCACTAATCATAATACTAAGAGCACAAGGGTAGTTTACAACGGTAATAGAAAAAAACATCGATTAAAATACTAGCACGTAATACATAAAGTATTGTATAGCTGCGCTTTCGGATTCTTCTTATGGGCGAGGAGGGGGAAGAAATGCGTTTTGAAAATTCCTTGAAAAAAATGCACGTACAAAACGTGTGCAATTAAATAAACATTTAAATGCGTAAAATAGGCAATTTTTCACGCTAATAATACGTTAAGAAAACAATGCAAACGCATAGCATAGAGGGGGGAATCTCACCATCGCCGCCCCTTCCCCCTCTAAAGTACGCCGCCGCAAGTATTTTATATACATATATATATAGTAATAATTCGTTAATAATTACGGAATAAAATCCCGCTGTCGAATAACACTACAGGTACTATTTAAACCGAAATTACATAAACTTTCCACCTGCAAAATGAAAAAAAAAAAACAACAATAAAAAATTAACGACAATAACAATATTATAATATACATACACACACACACACAGTAGGTACACAACAATAATAATCGTAACAGCCGTAAAACAAATAACCGACGACTATACCATTTGTTCAAATAATAACATACCGTTTTCACGATCATTTCTGGGGTTTTTTTTTTTTTTTTTCATTAAATACAGAGATGAACGTGAATTGATTGCGTATGGAAATAACAAAAAAAAAATTATAATATTAAGCGTTCGTAATAACGAACGGATAGACAACCGTAGTCATCATATAGCAGTTGTATATTATTTGATAGGTACCTATATATAACATTATTATTATTATGTATAGTATACACATATATTCGATGTAAATGCATGATAAATACGGTGATGTTCGTAACGCGAGTTGTATTTGTATAAAACAATATATTTGACGGTTGATTTATTGCAATTATTGATGTATTGTATTTTTTATTTACAATATTTTTTTGTTTTTATATATAAACACATTAACATAATAATATTATACAGCGAATAAAATCATTATTATTTTTATTATTATTTTTTTTTTTTTTGTTTTTTCCTGTAGTTAATGGTAAGATCGAGCATGAAGTGGTTTCAGAAAAACACCGAAGACGCCGCGGCGCCTCGGTTGCTCAGTCTCTCGCCGATTAGAAACTACGAGTCCGGAGACCCCGACTATTCGGCCGAGAGATATTGCCAGATGTTACCGCAAGGTCCGAGGAGGTCGAGATTAGGTAAATGTATATTATAATAATAATATACACGTTTAATTTCCACGTTATCATATTGCCATATACACGCGCGTTTAACATTCATCATAGTATAACGGGTAAAAACAACGTTCGCGTGTAGTAAAATATGCATATAAATATATTTGTGCAGTTTATTTCGTTTCGCGCATTATAATAGTACCCGCGTTTATTAATATCGAAATACGGCAGTGGTTCCCAAATCATTTTGACGGTGCATACTCTATGTATCTTGTACCCGCACGCACTGTGCTTTCTCCGGCTCTTGACAAACGTACGGCGTTTCGAATTTGCGTTCACGCGGGACGCCTTTGCGCTGTTCAGTTTCGACACCCGAGCGAATCGGCCGGTTATGACATTTTAACGATAAGAACATTATCTGTTCCGGAGATAATTTTTTTCTTTCTCTGTGTACGAGTATGCGAAACGGCACAATACCGACGTCGCACTGCAGACAGTGTTCTTATATTTATATTAAACATCATCTTAAAGAACTTTCGACAAGTACGCGGACCACCTTGATTCGCTGACGTTATTATTTATTTATTTATATTTTGCTATTTTTTTTTATGTTCAACGAGTAATAACGTAAGTAATAACCTAATAACATAAGTGACATTACCTAACTTAATGTATAAATAAATGACGTAATAAACTAATAAACTCCGAAGACCACCATCGCTTTACGTTAATATATTTTATTTTTTTTTAAATCGTGCGAATATGGGCTGAGAACCATTGCTATACAGGCGTCGATTACTCGCGGCAATGACATAATAGCGAACTCGACATTTTTGGGAGACAAATATTTAGATGGACCACCCAACCACTTAATAGCGAAATAAAAAAAAAAAATCCAGCTCTATGAAATTGTTTTTTAAGACTGTAGACGACCACAAGTTAGAGCCTAAATTTTTTTTAGGCTTACACTCTTTCCGAATCCAGATATTGGTTATTATAATTGTTCAATATTTTATTTTTGTTTGATTTTTCTCAGTAGGAATTTTTTTAATTTTCAGAAAATGTTTTATTTTATTCACGTTTTACTACCTGTTCCGAAATTATTTTCTTAGACAAAATAAACATAAAAAGTCGGACATACTTCACATAACATATAAAAATAATCGATGTACAATATGTATAACGTTCTGTGAACATTTTAGAAATACACCCCCGAATGTCCTTAATTAAGAGCTGATTTAAATAGAATATTAAATTACTCTAAAGTCTATATTGTATTTTACATTATCAATTTTCCACCTACAACAGTGGTACAACCAAAATCGAAAATGAACTAGTTTTTGTTTTTTCTTTGGGAGGGTGGGAGGCACAGTGATCTGAATTTTAAATTAGCTAACATTAATTGACAGTCAAGTTAAAAAGAGTTAAATAAATTATGCGAAAATTAAATTGTAATTATATTGAAGGTACATATATAAATACCTGTAAATAATTTAAAAATCACTAAAAGGATTTGAATATTTAACAATTAAAAAAAAAAAGTTAGTATAACATATTATTAATGTATATAATTCGATGGAAATTTCAGGTCTCTACGGTTGTTTTTAACCGAATTATAATGAAAAAGAAAAAAAAAGTAGAAAATAACAGAAACCGTTATTATATTGTTTGCATTTTCCTTTTTTTCCGACAACGTTTATTCCCGCGGTTATTAAAATGTAAACTACATGCCAGTGACGTATAGCCAGCGGGTAGGCCTGGTAGGCCCGGGTCTATCCACTTTCCTCCGAAAATTAATACAATTTTCAAATCAAAAATTTGTATTAGTAGTCTTTCCTATTCGAACATTTATATTATTTTACCTAGCCTACTTACAAAAATATTTCTAGCTACGCCGAGGCTTTACGAAATATCGAAAAATTACATTCTTAATGTACCATTAACTAGATTAATTAATTTGCTATGAAAATGCAAAACCTCGTGCGGATTTTCGATCGGGACAACAAGCTATTTCTGGTAGAAAATGTGTTTACGGGCAGAAAATTAAAACCATCACACACACCTTGGTAATCCTTGTTAAAACCAATACATTCCTCGGCCCGGAATTTAAAATAATAGTACGTATTCGTATATATTCGATCATAATTGCGCTTTATACGACTTTCGTTTAGAGGGTATATACCTACCAATTATAATATTTCTATATAAACATAATAATATGTGAACATTGAACGCGGTTTATAAGCCGATCTCACGCCATTGAAAGTAATATTATTAAGTGAAACATAATATGATTATGAGAATGGGAAATTTGTTTGATACTTCAAGGTATACAGCGAAAATAAAAAAACCAAAAAAAAATACGAGTGAAAAATTGTCCGAAATTATTATTATGTTGAGGACGAATATTTTAAAGATTAGTAGCCACTACGATATAATACCGATAAATTATTACTGTATAGGTAGGTAGACGGTATTTTTCGCCATTTATTATTATAAAATACGATATGAGTACGGCATATTAAACGCGTATATAACCCCGAACGTTCGTGAGAATCGGGTCATTAATTGCAACATATTTCTATATGTACTACACGACGAGCGGAGAAGCGCCTACGACTACAGTGCACAGACCGGAGATTTCAACACCGCGATGTCTTTATGATGATCTCATGTATACGCACGAAACAATAACGTATGATTATTATTATTGTCCGGATCGGGTGATATTTTTACCGATCGCGCTCGACATCCAACCATCGGTCCCCCCTCCCATGCCGACTTACGATGGCGTTTAGGCTGCATATGAGTTCCGTCCCAACAACCTTTTTTTTTATACCGATTCCGTCCCGGCTGAAAAAAAAGTATATAAGCAATTCCGTCCCGGATAAAAAATATTACAATATTATTATATGAATACAATAAAACCTAATAGATCCAGACACTGCGAGACGCACAAATAATGACTGGAAAGTCTAAAAGTCAAATAGTATTATTAAATTCGATTATTTAGTGCGATGACTGAAAGCAATATTGTCTTTATTTCTAAATAATTTATAATTGTTATCGTGGTCGTAAGTTTTATACTATATTAATATAGTATAGAAAATGCAAAAAGGGACGGAACTCGTATAACTAAATAAATTACATGGGCCGGAATTAGTATATCCATTTTAAAAACACGGGGCGGAAATAGTGTATCCTTTAAATTCAAATTTTACATTTGGGGCGGAACTCGGATGCAGCCGGCGTTTATATTAGCCGGGTTACGTCTATTCCTCTGCAGCACCCGAAATTTTCGGGGACGCGGTAAGAGTTATAATTTTCCGCCTAAAAAAAAACTATAATATCAATTTATTTAGGAGTTTTAATCGCTCCCAAAAACGTTTGGGTGTTATAAGATAGTACGTCACTATAGGACTGATTCACAACCGATCTCACCCACGAGAGAGGCAGACGAGTGCGAGGGAGGCGAGGAAAAATATAGGAAGGAATGTCGGTTGCAACATAAAAGTCTTATGGGCCAATAGGCAATAAAATACAATGTTCTACAAATATTATCGGTTTTCATTTTTATAATATCGCAATATACGTTACTATACATTGTATTATTATCGTCAGTGACGGACTAATTCAATAACGAAGCCCTCGTGCTAACCACGATCGCACGAATACTGCCTAATCCGGTCCAATTCTTGTCTATTTAATATTTTCAAAAATTTTAGCAGAGCTGGATAGTTAACAAATAACAAGTTAAAAAAAATCCAGTGGTAAGTTAGAAGTTAATTTTCATAATAATTGGAAAAAATCAAAAAATATGATTTTTTTCAAATTACCGCGCTACGATTTCATTATTTAAAAAATATTTGTAGACTTGAAATTTAGACAAAAAACAATATTCGCCAAATACAGCACTATACTATTGCAGTACTTTACTATGTATATATATTTTTTTGAATTTGCTTTTTCTAAATATGGTAACATTTTCATATCATTTGAGCCATTTTTGAGTTATTTATAGATATTTTAATTTTACGAGTTTTTACGTAATTTTTGTTAGGTAAGTACTCTATCGATGCAATTGTTAGGCTAAACAGAAATGCTTGAAAATTTGACACAAGGGTCACTATAAATCGTACTTAGTGGTCAAAAAAATAAAAATTGAAAGTAATGTTTTTTTTTTTTTTATTAGTTTTGAAAACAAATTTTGATCAAAATTTAAAAATTTGTCTTACCGAACATAGCTACGTACGAATATCATTATCAAATAAAAAGACGGTCGCGTGACTATGCATTCTTGTAAATCAGTCTGTATAAGTTTAAAAATTATTAGGGTACACAATTTATGAGTGTATAACAAATGGTAATTTTAAAAAAAAGTTATTATTATTAATTTGTTCGGTGGTTCGGCGGGCGTGTACTTACCTATATTATGTTTTTGCGGCGCAAGATAATTTGACGAGGAATTTCAATCGTGTTGGCGATTGTACGCACTATAACGGAAATTGTTTAGGTCTTTGTGATTAACGACGACGACACGTATCCACGATGCGAAGGGGGTGCGTTATATTATATTGACTGGAATGTTTGAATAATCGTTCCGATTTCGGATGGTTTGGCACAACTCTCCATACATATTTTTTATATCACATACGACCGCGTCATGTCCAAATGGGTTTTAAACGTCGTGACTTGTATTTTGTCCGCTTGGATTTCGTCCACGGACGATCGTCTATAGTACGTATAATACGCCGTTTAATGTCGTTTAAAACTCGCTAGTCTCACTCGTATTCAATTCCGATAACATAAATTAAATACGAATCATAAACGGTACGTGTTTTTAGGTTTTGTACTCTGACCACTAGTCATATTATTATTAGTTTTACTGATATGTTATTTTTTTTTCGGTTAGTAAAAATGCTCGAAATTATTCACATCGCATCTTATAAAATATGCGGAATATTCGCCCGGTGACGATTTATTTAGAAAAGATTTCTAGATTCCCCACAGTTCTTCTAAACAAATAAAAACTGACAGCAATAAATGTCGATACATTGGTTTTATTTTACTCGATTTCTGAGTTACAATGGACAAACTCGACTACTAATACTCTATATTACATGGCCGATTTACCGAATTTTGCTTAGAATCGGTTTTTGATTGCAATGATTTATCGTAACTTTAGGTAACTGAAAGCAGTTCTACATATTCTATTCCTTCCAAATTTCCCACGGTGCGAAGTACACGTCCCGTTTTTTTTTTTTTTATTTGTATTTAAAAGTATATTATAGTATTCCAATGATGTTCTGTTGCAAATTAATTGGCTACACCGAAAAAACAAATATTTCCGTTTTAGTTTCTGAAATATTTGATGGACGATGATAATGACTGATCCGTTAAAATCGTACATTTAAACCTTCTAACCTTTTAAACGATTTGTCTACCTTTGACTGTCGTAAATACAAACCTTTATTTTTCCAAGCGTTTTAACCGACGTAGGTTCGCCTTAGAGCTTTGGTTGCGTCAAAGTACAGTGTATTATTTCTTACATTCCAAAAGGAATCTTGTTTGTATATAGACTTCTAGAGGCTAATCGATTATTTTTTAGAATTCTAACAGTTCGATGTAGATAAAAAATACAAATTGTACTACACTTCAATACTAATTTTATTCTTTTATTGGTTTTTTTTTCTTATTATTATAATGTTTAATATCATTCAAATGTCACAATAATTAGGTATTATTATGCATACCGCATTTTATATGTGACGTCACGCCCATTCAGGGAATGTTGTATAAAGTATTCGGCATCTGATCGGAATGCTGCAGGTTTCGATCAACACCAGTTTTTTATTTTTTTTTTTACTATTTTGACCTCATATGACCACCAGTAGTATTCGAAGAATAATTTCTGCATATATGTACGCGTGTATCCTAGGTCAGGTGAATTTTTTTTCTTGCACAACCATCATTTATAAGAAACGGATTCTCTACTCTCGTATATTATTATCTGTATTCACATCATTATGTATGATTCGCATAATATTAATGGTGTAAATCCATTACAGGTATCTCTGTAGTATTTTAAATAATTTTTGTATTAACCGAGTATATTTTATAAGATGTATACAATAAATGTTTACTTACAAAGTTTCATATTTTTTTTTCTCAACTCGGAAAACGAGATACTTTAAATGGGGGTTTATCAAATAGCTTTCTACAAACTGATATAGGTACACGATATGGCTGATATGGCAACGATACGGCAACTGATACGGCTACCTACGCGATCGCTTATTATTTTCAAAAATCCCTAATAAGTGCTTTGTTTTCAAATCCATTTTAAAAATCTCTTTTCTTTTGCGGTACCTTATATAGTGGCGATTTTTAATTCCTTATTCATGGTGCGTTTTATTAGAAATCGTACTCCTGATAAGCCGATTTAAAATCGTTACTATGTACCTTGCAATTATTAGCAAGTGTGTGAATACGTGTGTATTTTTAAAATCTTTTCGAAATCGTCTTTTTTTAAAAAAATATTATATTATTACATTTTATTGTGGACGATTTAATTCAAAGTATTTTTGACGTTCTTTTTTACTTGCTAATTTTATATTATCTAATACACATATTATGGCGGATACTTAAATACTTTTAGAATCCATATGCAATCACTTTTAATACATATAAGGCTTAACTAAATGAACGAATAAAATTCACGGGAGGTTTTATAGTATTATGTCTATCGAATTTCAAAGAAAAAAAAGCCATACTTATTAATACATCACACTTCGAATTATGAGCGGATCGCTGTTATAGTCGGGATTTTGAAAGGTTGATTGTATAATATGGGGCAATGTTGTTCATACCTGCATACGTGGCGGTAAATCATTATGAATGTTAAATGATTCTCAGCAAAGTTCGGTTTTGATAAATTAAAATGTTTAATTAATAATTTTCCATTAAAAATACATGACACAATTTTTGTTCGCGTAAAACAAAATTAATTTGACATTATCTCAAATATCTTTGAATAACTCAAAATACGCAGTATAAAGTATGTTGAAAGCTATAGCTACTGCGTGTCTATAGAAATTGATAATAGAAAGTTTCAGGTATCTTTGATTAACATTTGTGTGACCGAATTAAAACAGAACCACAAAATCTTAACTAACAGAACCCGCGTTATTGCGTAAATGTTTCCGTTTTTCCGAAGTTTTTACCGTATTATAAAAAAAATGGCATCCTCAGTGCTTGAATATTAGACAAAATTCGCTACCTCTGAAGTTGATGAACGGTAGTAGAGTTGTTGATTCGTCATACACAAACATAAAAGCACACATCATAGTAAAACCAATCGCTATACGCTTAGAATCACATAATTTCAAGTAACCAATAATAATCAAATTTTGTGTTTTTTTTTTTTTTTTATATAGACGCTTCTCCATTGAGATTGGACAGGTCGAATTACAATCAGGATGTCCACTGTTATAATATTCGGGACCGTACAATTGTAATGCAAACGGCCGCGCGTACCAAGACGACGAAAGAAAAACGAAATCCACTTTTGGACCAAGTCAAACACACCGGTCTCACCCATTTCAAACCGAATTCGGCGATTACCGCTAACCATAATAATAATGAAAGTAAACATAAAGTACAGTGTTACGACGTCGATGGGTACGAAGACGAAGACGACGACGAGGACGTTTCGACAATATCCGCACGGTTGAAAGCTATTTCGGACAGATATTTAAAGTCGTCTACACACAGATTCTTAGCGAAACTCTATAAGAATCCGTCTACCAAAACCGATAAGTCGGCCACCGAAACCGAAGAACCGGATAAAAATAAATTAAATAAGGTTAGTCGTGGTATATAGACTGATTCGATCGTTAAAATAATATTAATTCTAGTAAAAACTATATTAAACGTCCATGACGGGTTGAGTATATGCAGCTAATGCTAGTGGTGCTAAGCGCTTAATCTGGATCGATCGTAATACGGATTACTGATCCGGATTGACCAAAGTATAATAATTAGTATAACCTGGATTGGTTTTATCAAGGCTTCTGGATTATTACAAAATTTAATTTATTTAAAAATTACAAAAGTCATATGGTCATTCCATTTGACGATTCTGACCAGTATTTAAAACACGTTTCAAGTTGTTTTCATTAAAATGGTCTAGTAATTTGTTTCATTTATTTTCTTCGCTCATAGCCCATCAAGAATTCCAGATGAATCGGGTTTAGAGGACGTGATTTACCCGTATTCTGTCTGTATCTTAACGTACAACATGGCACATTTGATTAGCATCGGTTTTGTGTTGCTAATTTTGACATTAGAATGATTTGACCTGCCATTGAATGTAATGTTAAGAACATTATCCGTGTATTTACGTTGACATTTTCTACGATATTTCAATATTTTTAAAAATTAAGAGGGTATATTATAAAATATTACAATTATTTAAAAATGCTCATATCTATCGTTTTAAAATTGAAACATCTTAATAAAGCTACCGTACAATCACAAATAATTGTTTAAGCTTTAAATTTAATAGTAGGTCAGTTCATACTTATTTTAATGCTAACAACACAAGTTTGGTTCTACTGAAAGCAGATATTTTGCTAAGCAGCGCGTGGGTCAGAGAGAGAAGAAAATAAATAGCTCACTGACATCCTCTGATATCAAGGCTGGATTTACTTAAAGGCGCCCCTAGTCTAATAAAACATAAGTCATTTCTTCTTAGACCCCCCCTCCCTTCTAATTTATTTACCAATTTTGAATATCTATGTAAAAACGTATAATGGATTAATTTAAAAATATTTTAAAGTTAACCTAAAAAAATTGCTTCACTTTACTCAAATTAAACAAACCTAACCTAACCTCCTCTCCACTTTATCCAATCACACGTAATCAAATGTTTCACATGTTTATGAAAGCCACCATTCCTTTGTACGAAAGATCCTAGTTACTTAATTATCTAAACCTCGCCTATAATTGTTTATCGTCATTAACGGCCTTGTCCTGTTCCTCCAAACTTATACTTCGTTTTACTTCTGCATATTCTTAATCCTTTTACTACAAACGCTACTCTCTATTATACAAGCCTACTGTTAACTTATTCCAGATTTTCTCCTATCAAAACTATATCATCTGAAAAACATCATGCACTATGATACCTCCTCTCACCTAATATTCTCGCGCACATCCGATGTGGGACAATCTGTCAAATTCGCGTTTAGAACTCCTAATATTGTTTGAGAGATTTTTACATCAGCTATCGACCTGATGCGGCTACATTTGTCGTCTTTTACGACAAGCAAAGGTACCCCGAGAGTATTTTGATTCTCTTCTACATAGAGCGTGTTAATTATATTATAAATACGTAATAATATTATCATACATAATATAATGTAAAGTTTTATCGCCTATTTACTTATCAAATGTTTGAATGTTATTCGGCTAGTTCCGAGCTACCTATTTTTATAATTTTACAACAGCGAACAGCTAATTTACGAAAATAAACATTATATTTTGATGTCGGTATTTGTGTTCAACAATATTTCTAACAACTACATATAATTTTTTTTCCAATAGATGATAAATTAAATTCTCAGATAGGAATTTTATTTAACAAAAAAATCAAGAGCTCTGCTGGCCACGGCGCCTTCTGAGTTCGTGGAGCCCCTAGTCTATAGCCTATAGGTAGTCTAATCTTAAATAATCCGGCCCTGTCTAACATCCAATAGTAGTTAATATCCGAATTACGGATCCAATCAATTAAACGGGTTTTTTCTAAATCCATTAAATTGGTTTTTTTTTAAAAAATCCGGATCACGAGTTTGTTAAACCTTTGCTCGTCACTAGACTGTCTGATCATTAGGTTTTTTTACGTCGTTTTATTTAATTTTTACTTATACACTTTGTACTATTTATAAAATGATTTTCGCTAATGCGTATATCTTTCACGAGTCATCGTATTTTAATTATTCATATTGTTGTACACACGTCTTTTTAAAATTATATACTGCATTGTATTAACTAGTAATAAGACGTGTCTGTCTTCGGCAACTTGCGTGGCGAGCAGTCCGCTTTATAATTTATGTGTTTTATTTAATAAAGTTGTTTATTTACGTATTATAATAATTAGTTGGTGTTTTCTACATTGACTTTTCGCAGGTCAAGCTGAGGAGTTTCTCTTATGGCGCGTTACCCGGGCTAGACGATTTTCGCAAACGAATTCCGGAATCGCCGCCGGAAAAGACGACGGTCGCGCCCGAGGACGACGACAGCGGCATATTATTGAACGACCCGCCGACCGACACGATTACCGGGGCCGCGGAAACAGCAGGCGCGCGGGATTACTGTTTCCGGAGCGCCTCACAATACGGAATCAAGCGAAATAATTACGCGTTTAGTTTACCGCCCGACCGACAATCGTCCGCGAGACTACAGTCGGGAACCGGCAGACACAAAAGAGAATACAGGGCGATACAATTACACAGGGATTATCCGGAACAGGTGTTGGGCGTCCGGATCAAAGAAATACGGTCCGAAAACAGTTTCGGGTACACGGTCATCGACATACAACCGGGAGGAGTGGCCGACCGGTAAATATAAAGAAGAAAAACAATAATAATGATAATAATTGGTACGAGTATTTCGGAACACATTTTCGGCCGGTAAAAATGCTCTGAAAATTACACGCCGTATTGAAAGATGCGGCTATTTTCCGCCAGGCAGTAACATTTTTTTTATAACGATTTTCCATAAAAAAAAAAAAAAAAAAAAATGTATTACTGCATCATTCGTTACAAATATATTTAGAGTGAGTCAGTCATTCCGGCACATATAATATTATACCCTTACCCCAGTTTTATAAATATATACAGTGTGTCATAGGACTATTTGAAGTTTTTTCGTGTAACTACACTCTGTATATATGTATTATTTTTATTNTATACAACCCGCTGTTAACTCATTCGGTTTTCGGAATCGTTTTTTTATTTGTGCCAGTTTGCACGTTATTTAAATTGTTGAATCTGTATACGAAAAAAATAGCCGCGTTGTTGTTTTTCTTTGGTTTTTTTTTTTTTAGTATAAAACTCATTATTTTATTCGTTAGATTAGATTAAAAACTATAGGATTACAACTACTACTCTCATACTCTCAATATCTTCAAAACAAAAAAAACAAAATGTATTACTGCATCATTCGTTACAAATATATTTAGAGTGAGCCAGTCATTCCGGCACATATAATATTATACCCTTACCCCAGTTTTATAAATATATACAGGGTGTCATAGGACTATTTGAAGTTTTTTCGTGTAACTACACTCTGTATATATGTATTATTTTTATTAGAGTACACCTATACTATCTTAAATCGTCCCTGTAACCAAATTGAAATCGGTCGTTTTGATAGTTTGTTTTATGTACAATACACATATTACATTTATGTATATTCGTGTCTACACTCTCTCATTAAATTCAAATTAAATACAGGATAATATTGTGTACATTTTATATACACGAATACAAAGTATTCTTTCAGTTGTTTTTTGCGATATTTTCTCGGAGGATTTCTGTGTTGTTTTTCTTTTTTCAAATTATTACTGAATCGTTTAAAAGGTTTATTTTAACACCGTTTTAAATTTTCGGTACCCCTATACTCTTCACATCCCTAGTGAGTATTCACTTTATTCTACAAATAGAAACCCCCACCTTCCTTTTAAACACATTTAGCATATTTTATAAATTATTGATATAATTATAAGAAAAAAAAGAGGGACGTACGTCGCATCTTGGGTAAGCCACTAAAGCTGTTGTAGGTGACAAACTCGGAAGGAATATGATATACAAGTGAATTTAGTTTATTTATCGAAAGCAACGATAAATAATTGCAATTTAAAAAACGATTGTGAGCGGAGCTCGGTAAATTGATAAGGTAATTGTTTGTTGGTCGGGATTTTCCCCTTGTAACCCAGAAATCAGCACAAATAAAACGTTTATTACTATAATGGGCATCATGCGTTTGGGAGAGTAACTTTTTTTCCCGCATTATAAAAACTGTGTTCGGGCGAGTTCATCATAATGTGTTTGAGTCAATTTTTTAATAATGTGTTTGAACGAGTATAATAAGTACAATGTAAAATATAAATGATGAAATTGTGAACAACATATACTAAAAATGTAAATACCTACGAATTATAATCATTCACAATTGTTTTTTCTGTATAGTCAATCAGATAAGATAACAAAAATTGCGATTTCCCTGTAAGTAATAATATAATAATAATAAATTAAATAATAATTATATTGTTCTAAACTTAATGGTTATAGTGTTTCAAATATCGGACTAGCTCGAATACTGGAAACGTGAAATATAATGTTTTAGTTATTAGTATTTAGTATTAGTTCATAGTTATCAATTATTACGAGTCGCGCACCAAATATGGATTGTAAAATTGAAACCGCTTTTACTACAGAACGACATAAACGATGTATTTCGATTGAAAATGTTTAATCATATTAGTGGAATTTATAAACAGTTCAAAGTCTGTCAAAATGAGAGAGGAAATGTATTATTAGCCGCCCAAACCCATTAAATTATTTTAAAATCACTGGCTCGAACGCATTGTGGAAAATTGTCCAAACACAATGCAATATTGAATTTTTACAAACTCGCCCAAACGCAAACCGCCCATTTATAATGTATTTATGTAACATTTGTATTGTCTTTTTTTTTTTAGATTCCGAGCGTAGCAAGGGGACCTCTTAGTTTTGCAATGCTATTTATTTTTTTTTTTTCTTTGTTCTAGTCTGTGGACACGTTTTTTCTTAATAAACTTACTCCGATTTTTATATGTAGCACGAAGTAATTTTTTGATTTTTGACGCCGTTTTTTAAATAAAAGCACTTAAGTGGGAAAAAAGGTAGGAAGACGAACAATTTCAAGATTCATTATTTTATAAAAACACGGACAACGTTTTCTACCAGAAAAAATGATTTAATTGAAAAATCACAAGATACCTTTTTTGTAGCCTTTTTGATTAAATAGCTTACTGTATCGTTTCCAAAATTGTTGAGCCATTTTTGAGCTTTTAAGAAATTTTAATTTTTGGGAATTTTTTTGCTGTGATTCTGCTATAAATACACGTAGAGACTTGAAACTTGGTAATAATACTTATATTGGACTTACCTAGACATGGTAAAATTTTCATAATCATTGGTCGCCTTTTTTTTTTAATAAACATTTTGAAATCTAATTTAAACGAAAATCAAAAAAAAAATTACGCCACTTCAAATTATGTATTAGTGAACTGCGCTCGGAATCGTTTTTCGTCAAGTAATGGTTTATCGTTGCTTACAGATATAAATGAAATAGGCTAATGTATCCTACCTTCCTAACTTCTCCCCTACAACACTGACCTCTCCCATACCCAGTATCAGCTTTTTTTTTTTTACTTTTTCCTACGGCCGCGACCTTACAATTTTGTTGATGATCGTTTTTGAAAACTTTACATAATTTGTATGGCATTATAGTTTCCACTGGTATATTATGTGTTCTACAATACAGTGGCGGTTTTAAGTATTTTTACCTTGAACCAAAAATTTAATTTTCCACACACCCACCCGCCCGCCCCTGCCAAAAATACCCCAAAATCTACAAACCAGGGATAAATTGACTAAATTTCCTTGGGAGCTTCAATGACATTTATCAAATTTTTGTATTTAAAAATTATTTTAATGACTTATGTTTTGTAGAAAGAAAATAATTTTTTTAAATTTCTGAACACCCAGACACCCACGACCCACCCACTCGTTTTGTTGTGAATCGTGTGAATCAAATGTACCTCATTCGCGTCGCCACTATCACAATATTTTGTGCGTAACAATAATTAATCGCGGTGGTTTTTTCCAGGACCAGCGATTTAGAAGTGGGCGATCAGATAGTGAATGTCAACGGGCAGCATCTGGCGGGACTGGACCCGGCGGACGCCAACCGTCTCCTGAATGACGGCAATAGCGCGGTGGACCTGTTGGTGGCCAAATCGAATTATCCGGCGGCAGATGCGACGGCTGTGTCAGGTAACGATGACCGTGTGAACGACCGCGGTGGCGTTAAACTGGGAATGCTGGAGACTTCGGTGGACTACGACAACGGTTACGGCGCGTCCGCACGTGCCGCGCAACCCGCGGTACTTCAAAAGTACAACAAAAACGGACAGACTGTCGTGTACGTGACGCCGCCGCCGCCGCCGCCTCCGCAGGTACATCGTCTGGCCAAAAAGAACGTGTCTACGGTGTACTTAAAGGGTGGTGGTGGTCACGCGGACGAGTTCTCCGGCACGGATTGCACGACGTTTTGCACGTTGCCGAGACGGCCCAGGTCAACGTTGTGCACGTTTCACACATTCGTGCTGGAAAAAGGCCCCGGGAAAAAAGGCCTGGGATTCACGATCGTGGGCGGCAAGGATTCGCCGAAAGGCGCCATGGGTATATTCATCAAGAGCATTTTGGAAAACGGACAGGCCGCGGAAGACGGCAGACTGAAACCGGGTAGGTACCTGCTGTCGGCATAAGATTGTACAAATATCGGAATGTTTGAGATTATATTTTCAGCGATTTTTTTTCCCCCGAATCTGGCGTACGGGGGGACAACTGATTCCGTTCTAGAAGGCGAAGGTTAACTTCCCCTTTTTTGTCGACTCCACTTGCAGATATCGGTCACCTTGATCCTCGATTTACTACTTATTAGTGCTGAGGATCAAATCCGGATGGAACGTCATAATCCATTTAATCTGGATTATGGATATAAATCCGAATTATAGAATAAAATATCATTTATTTAAACCAATAAACGTAATATCCGTTTAACTGTTCCAAATCGTTTCGATTGATGTCATCTACTATCTAGGTCTTACTCTTTTAGTACCCAGTCCATTTTAGGTAAATTAACGGATTGGAAATAGTAACGCAGATTCTGGATTGGTAAAAATATCGCTCAGCGTTACATTTCCCGTGCACCGTCTTCTCAAATGTCTGACCGTTTCTCCGGCTTTATCCATACAAATTCGTCCCGAGCCTTGTGCGATATTTTTTCGTAGTCCAACGTTGCCGGTTTATAAAGTATATCCATACATGCACGAACGCGTGTGTTTGAAAATAATTTCGAAATTTCGTTTCTAGATTTGTTTTGATTGCCTTATGTATGACGGTATTGGTCATACCTATCACGGAATAATGACGTAATATATGATATTGTTAAAAAAAAGTATTCTCTTTTCCATTACGTTTTATAATAACTGTCCGAAAAACATTTTATTTTTTTCTCGGAAAACTTTTTATTCTATTTTAAAGCGCACGAAGTAATATATACTTTTTTTTTTTCTCAAATTAGATAATCGTCACGTATTCAGTTGACTGTATAATGGGTTTTTATCGAATATGTTTTTTTTTTAAATTTCTGATAATTCTATGACTAATACGTATAAAAAAAAAAAGTTGTTTTATATAAATTACCATTATCCAGTATATACTCGCGTATAATAATATTTAATTGTGTCATATTTTCGTCATGTTCTTGTGTACTTAATTACAAAATTCTACTGTTTCGTAACTTTTTTTAATTGACAATAAATAATAATTATTATTGGCCTAAGGCGCTAGTACACTGGATCCGGTTCAGTTCGGTTAATCGTTTTACCCGAAGATAGTCACCCAGAATAGTGTATAGTTAAACCGGTTGACCAGTTACTCTATAACTATAGTAGCGAAACTATAGCGAAGAAATTATCAGTGTTACTAAGATTCGAAATCCCTAATACGTTTTCTAAAAATTGCTTTTTAATTTTTTTTTTTTTTTTTTTTTTCGAAAACACGTTTCTGGTTTAGGCAAACGTTTCAATTTTTCACTCAGTGAAAAGATGTGAAATTTCTGCAATGGTAATTTATTTAAAACATTTTACCTCAGCTGATGAGTGTTTTTTTCTATTGACTCTAACTGATTCTGGATTACCGCGGCAATAACGTAACAAATTTTACTAAAACTACCCCGCTCAGAATTGTTGCATTAAAGTATTTACTGTGTGGATAATAAGTACAGGATAATTTAGTTTTATGTTAACTAAATCACTCTGTATATCTATTAAGGTCCACAGACATTTTTCTAAGCGGGGGGGAGCAATATTCAATATTTTATACTTTATGCAATACACAATTCGAAAAAAGAACAATAAAACAATTGTTTAACTATGACAAACGTATTGTCGTATTAAAAGCTAGAAGGGTGCTAACGTTTTGTCTTATCCCTCTCCCTCCGGACGCCTATGTGTATATTCTACCTTTCAAACTATTTTTAAACTGTTTATTTGTTGTTCGTTCCTTACTATTATAGTTGCCATGCCAACGATATTAAATATGTAGGACGTACAGGTATAATATTGTGAACCATCCCGTTTTGAGTGTTGTTTGCGTACAATATAATCAAATATTACACAATATTCGTCATGTGTTCCATGTTACAGTGAATTTTCCCATGCCATATTAACCGATGTGAACACTTTTCGTAATCAAATAATCTATTGTAAAATGTCACGTTTGCCTTATTTTTGACGGTGAAATCATTAGGTACCGACATTTAGTTTTCAAACGGCGACATATGTGTGTGTAATAAATATTTACAACTACGACAGATCGACGGTGATAATATTCGATAGTATTGTAAAATGCATTATTGTTTACGATAGTATAATAATTTTTGAAAAATTGATTGGAGAGATAAATACGATAACAAGTAATTGACAGGGATGACGTGTTTAAAATAAAAAAAATACATATTTTTTGATTACGGTTTTTTTTTATTATTATTATAACAAGTATAATAATAATGCCAGTAAATTTGCGTTGTCAGTATAAGCATAGATAACAAAACGAATCGCCTCAAAAGGAAATAATACATATTATTAATTTATAACGTCAGCTTATTCATGTACAACTATACGCCATTCAATACTAATGTATATTATTGTTACGCAGGAGACGAAATACTGGCGGTCAACGGAAACGTATGTCACGATTTGACCCATTCTGAAGCAATATCGCTGTTTAAATCGTTCAAAAGTGGTTCGATTGCTCTCCACGTGTGTCGCAGATCCAAAGCGTCGAATAGGTACACAAAATATACATTATTATTACCATGAGTCGAATCGTTTTAATAGTACGTACATATATTATGGATTTACTGTTTATACAGTATTCAATCGAATTGGTTACCGTTGAAGGCGGGAAGTCGGCAAGGTACTATAGAATAATAGGAGAGGTATAGGTAATTTGTGTGGCAAGGTTAGAAAACTATAGTGGGTTTTTTTTTTTGTTTTCATAAGACTGAAACGAAACCCTGTTGTTTCGACAGAAAAAACTTCAAATAATCCGGAATTCAACGGGAATATACCTCCCACGTAGACATTGAAATCGAGAAGTCTACTTCCGAGATGTTGTTGTTGCTGTAATTTTGCCTACAGTGCGTTTCACGAAATTAGAGACTGCGAAGTACTGAAAAACTCGACCGGCGGTCACATATTTGAATTCTAGTGTCGTTCAAACGTCGTGTGAGCTCGTAAATCGATGCAAAAAACATAGATTTTAACCTTCGGACACATGACGTCATAGTAGTCTGTAGGATCAAAATTAATCAGTTCTCGGCGTCTGTAATTCGTTTTCGGGTATTTAATAAATCTTTTTGAAATCTTTTAAGTTACTTACGCGATGCAAAAGTTTCGGAGCATTTTTACTTTACGAAAAAATCACAGCTTAGTAAAATGTTATAAACGAGATTTTTTAAATTAAAATTAATGTTTTAATATTCATTTTTAGTTTTTAAAACTGAAATTTATGTTTTAATATTACGCCTTAAACTTTTAATACCCGCGTGATTTAATATACATAATAAATACGCGGTATTCGAATTTGTTTTCAAACAAAGTGTTGAATAAATTAAGCACATTCAATTTTCATCCACAATTCAAACTACATAATATGATACGACCTGCAATTGTAAGTCCCACACCAGTCTGAAGCCGGTCTCCTCCACGACAGGTGTATTCGGCCAATATTGCGTTCGGCAACAATATTGGCTTGGTTATGATCATATTATATAGAAGACTGGTACACATGACCGATTGAATACTGGTACCTGTAACGATGCACACTTTGTTGGTCATGGGTCAGAATCTCTCGGACCTCAGTTATATGTATACAAATCGGTTCATCTAGCTTAGTGCGCAATGAGGAACACCAAGAGCGCTGTTCAAATAATCAGATTTTGCCCGGGTTCGCGTTTAATTTCTATGATAATACTTAATTACGTCGTAAACGTAACGCAGTTACGACGTAGTATAGCGTTCTTAGTACACGCGACTGCGACCAGTGACCGACCAACATTGGTACGATTACGACATTCGTGCGGGACTGAATCGATACGCGTTCAAATGACTTAAACAAAAAAATATCGCCTTTTCGAATCTGGCAAAAAATTAAAAAAAAAAAAAAATTGTTATGCCTACTGTTTGAAAATGAATAAATATATACGATACGCGTGCGAAAACTCGAACGATTCCATAAGCGATTTTTGGATATTGGTTCGACGTAATATTAAAATGCAATCGAGTTCGGTTAAAATCTTACGCGTCGATAAATCGCCGATTCGCGAGTAGGAAAACAATTGGTTTTTTTTTTTTTAAATAAAAACCACTGTTATACCTATACATATTACTATAGCTCGTAACATAGTAAATTAGCATTTTACGTTCTTCGTTTTTTTTTCTCTTATTCTCGAAACTAAGATGACTCGTTTTATTTTTCAGAGATACCAAAGCCAAGTCATGTACGAACCTATTGAACGATGACAACGCAAGATCGGATTAATAAGTGCCGCACCATCTATCTACACTACACTCCCGTGTGCAGTGCAGCATATATGATGTTTTGTTTATTTTTTTTAATTTTTTTTTTTCTCCCATGGTTCCGATCGTTACAATCTAGTCTTTGGCGTCAATTAGAAAATTACGACGACGGTTTACGCGACATGTACAATCTACGTCTATGTTATTATAATGATTCGCCATACGATAATATTACTATAATAATATGTTATAAGTCCTCAAAGTCTCGCATGCGACCGAGTGTAGCCATAACGTATCTCTATAATAATAATAATAATAATTATGTTATAATATGTTATGCTATTATAAAATATTATGAAAATACTTATTATTATATTGTCGATGTTTTATATTAAAACTCGGTATTATTACTGTTTTAGTTCCTGTGATTAAGTATATTATAATATTTAGACGGTGTTTACGTATACCTATAATACTATTGTATAGTGTATGCTCTTACCTGTAGCGATTTCCAATAACCGTTTCTCGAGTTTTGTATAGAAAAAAAAAAAAAAACTACCCGATTGTTTTATATGATATACTGTAATATTAAATACTTATACCTACCTATATATTATACCATTTCGGAACGTTGTAACGCTACGCGACGGACTGCGCGTAGTCGTGCTTATGTTTTGTTGAAAATTATATGTATAATATTATATTATTGTAATAGAACCGATGATATTTTGTTTTGATTTTTGTGTGTTTTTGTCGTTGAATTAAAATTTCGTAACAAGACGCTTTTCCTGGTTGAAATTTCCAATATTAAAATGTTCAGTACGGAAGTCGTTATAGACTAATCTATTAAAGTACATAGAAACTAAGTTGATTTATTGTACGTTACGCTGGCCCTCCACCTTTTGAATTTTGGATTTTCTATTACGCATCTTTTTGTACGTCACAATTCGTCTATCCTGTAGTTTAAGACTGCAACAATACTGAACAGAAGGACTTTTTTCAGGAGAGCTACTTAAAAAATAAAACATAAAATCAATAAATTAGTTATGAATACAATTTTTGGTTTACACATATGTCGTTATACTTTATGTATCTATTGTTACTATTATATTAATACACGAATTAATTGCGGTAAGTATACTTAATTCACTATAAAACTGGATATATAACCAAAATACGTTATTCTGAAACGAACCGTGCTCAATAATTCAATTAATTTTAATGCGTTTTCAAATTTATTGTTTTGAAAAAGTGTTAATAATGGTGTAGTTAGTACAATTTGATTTTTTTTTTTTTTGAGTCATTGCAGTTTTAAACTGGATTGTTAATATTATGAATGGATAAAACAATAGGTTTCAAATAAAGACATTTTTTTTTGTGTCTATACATTTTTAACATGTATTCAATTATTTTGAAATTTATGTATACTTCAAAATTTGATTTTAAAACTTAAAAAAAATACCATTAAATTCAATTTTTTTTTATCTCCATATTATACGACTTAAAATGAAACTGTTAAATTGACCAATAATATTTGGTTTTATTATTACGATGTTATTTTATATTTTTACATACTATATTGTTCCAATTTTCCCGTTTTCCTCAGTTTTTTTCGGTTTTTCACTTTTGATGAGAAAACTTCTAAGAAAAAGGTAAAATGACCTCTCTAAGGTACCACCCCATGAAAATTGCCTTTCAGAAAAAGGTCTATATCGTATACATTGGGGCAAAATTTCTGGTAGAATTTTTGTACACAACAAAAAATAAAAATAAAAATAAAATAAACATCTTTGTAAAACCAAAATGCTGCATGAGTTTATACAAAACAAAGTACAAACTAAGATAACAGATGTTTTTAATACAATGTAAATTTAATTTTAAAATAGCAAAACTACTTTTTTATTTTATTTTTTTCTATATGTATTGAAGTCACGATTTAATGATAAAAATATGATACATTGATTCTAATACAATATTATCTTCAGATAAATACATAAACATAATAATAATACATTTTTTAAATTGTATTTTATCATTTTGATTACAATGACAATCGGTGATTATGACTAATTTTAATTAGTCCCTTGAATGTCATCATAAACGATTTTTACTGTATAAAAGAATCGTGTATAGGCATATTTTACTATTATAATAAATAATATCGGTATACACAAATTAAGTTCGGACTAACATAATACAGGTATATTAAGTATGGAATACTGTTGGTCTACAATAAAGAAAACGACATTAGATAATTCACGATTTAGAAAACATTAATATCGAGTTTATTGATTTTTATTTTTTATTTATATATATTTATTTATATTTTATTTTTTCGTCGGTCTGTGTATGTTAACTAAGTTATGTATTGAGCCAATATATATAAGAATAATAATTTATAATAATCGTAAAATAATAATAATTGTTGTGTTCGCATACTATAATATAGACCTGAGTATTTTTTAAGTAGGTTTTTACTGTTCAAATAAACATACAGCGAAGTCCATCATTGGATACACAGTACGATTTTACTTAATGTGTGTCACTGTGTCCACTAGAAAGTAAATAGTAAATTATCGAATTGGTAGATTTTATAATGAAATTTTTTTTTCCTACATAACAAATATTACCATTGGAAAGGAATAAATGAAAAAATTCCAAAAATTAGGTGATAGATTTTCTTTATCTGATCGGGGAGTTTTTTTTTTTTTTTTAAGGAGGGTACACTTATTGGGTATTTACTGAAAAATGGCCCGTGTGGGTGAATTTATAATGTTTCCTATAACTTTTTTTTGTACTGAAAAAGTAAACATAATTCATATCGTGGTTTAGTAAAAAGTAAATTTGTTTTATTTTTTAATAACAATAAATATCTTTGAAATGGTATACCACTTTCGAATTATTCAATAGTTCAACAGTAGTTTAATCACTTAAATGTAAATTGATCTCCACATAATATCATGTACTGTATATATTTAATAAAGCGTTTTACTTATAATACATTTATTGTAATTGGGTTCCACTATTTTAGTCATAATAAATAAATAACTTTTAAAGCATGGATAATATTAGTTATAATAATAGTTATAGTTTTTATTTAATGTAAATAATAATCAACTTGTCATGACTCAGCGATTTTTTCCAAGTGAATTTGATTTATGTTTTTTTAAACGTTACTTTAACAATATTTTCAATTTTTTTCCTTTCTTTTTTACTTAAATGAGAATGCGCTTTGAATTTAAAAAAAAAAAATCAGAAAAAAATAAAATGAAAGCGGAAAAATTTACGGCATACGATTTATATTTTCTACATTTTTACAAAATACTTATATTAGCCTTTTTTAGATGTGGTAATATTTTTAAATTATTTTGGTGATTTTTGAGCTATTTATTTAAAGCTTTAGTTTTTATTTTGTTGGTACTATTTGAATAATTTTGTTTGACCAAACAGAAATACTTTTAACAAGATGTTTATTATAAGCTGTACTTAGTGGTCAACAAAAATAAAGTTGAATATAAAATACTAGTTTTTTTTTTTTATATTTAATTTAATGACAATTATAAAAACTACAACATTTCAAAACATGTAGGTTTAACTGAACTTTGCTCAGAATCGTATTTTATCGAAAATGAAATTCTTTTATCGTTGGTTACAGATATTATACTATTATAACCTACTTAATTAAATTCAATTTGTATTAATTTTTGATTTATATTCAGCTGAAATCATGAATTAAGATATACAAGATATCGAACGATAGATGAAGCTCGAACCGTCTTACTTTTGGCGAAGCTACTAATACCATCTAGTGTACTCTTTAAAAACTATATCAATACTTATTAGTGAGATAAATATGAATAGATATGCAATTTATTATATACCCTACTCCGGTTTGAACTTTAAACTGGTTTTAGTTGATTTTTACACCAATTTTGTTAGAAAGCGCTAGCTGTCCTGTCAAATAGTAAGATGTTAACCTAACCCAGGTGGGTTAGGTCAACATTTAAACGGCGGAGTCGGGATTTGGAAAATCAAATCTTCTTAAGGCACATCCTTGGCAACAAATCTTTTTATTTATACACATTTTAACCAAGTGACTCATTTTCATTAGTCTGTAAGGGCATTTAAAACCTGGTATTTCCTGTGATAACATAAAATCTAAGCATAAAAATGGTTGGGAAGAGGGTCAAAAGTCAAAATTACAAAAAGACACATCCTTAATACTTATACCACGCTTATACAAAATATCATCCCTAGTTACATTTAGGAAATCTATAGAGGTGAACAAACATAAAAAACTCTTCTCCCCCCCTCTGACGACCTGGTGAAGTTCATATCAATAAATATTATTTCTTTCTTTTGTCAGCCTATATAAAAAAAAAACTGCTTCCCGAGTATGGGCTCATTTGGTCCAGAGGGAGTCGCTAAAAGTGTTCACAAGGATCTGGACAATTATATATAGGTATTTCCAACAGATACAATACAGCGTAATAGTCTGGAATAGTTGGAAAATCAAAAAAAAAAAAAAACACATAATATGTACAATAAAACACAATAAAAATATATAATTTCCATATATTATAAAATAATAATAATAAATTATACTAATATAACATAAATATTAGAACATTTTGTATTTTTACATTAAAGTAAAATAATATAATATATAAATACACATAAATATACAAAATATATATATATATATATATAAATATCATTTTTTTTTTACGAAAAACAATAATTCACATACCTGTTGATATTACCCTATTGATAAAATAAATTACATTTGTTACTACGTACAAAACAAAAAAAAAAATTATCTGATCAGCAATAGTTTTATAAAAATACCTCGTGCTACATTTTGTTCATTATTTGTATTCGACAATCCCTTCGTCTTTAAACAGTTTTAAAATGCTAGTGCCGAAAAATATTACCGCCAAAAATCCGTACAACACAGCGTATATTAAAAACTGAAAATAAAAAAAAAGATTTAAGTACATATTATTAAATTATATGTGCCTACATACATTGTCGATGAAATTTAAAATTGTTATTTATACTGTTCATAAATCTCAATTATAATAAATTCTGTTAGAACGTTAAATATAATTAAATCATTAACATTGGAAATATTTTAAATATTTGAATTGAGTTTTATAGTTGATTTTTTTTTAATTTTGGGCACTTTAAAATTCATTCAGAAAACTGCAGATGTCTTTGATTAATAAATTTGTTTGTACCAAAGTCGCAACTATAACTAATAGGGTGCTTGAGAGTGCTAAAACTTTGTTAGCCCTAAAAATCAAAGATAATTTTTTAAAAAAGCCTTTATTTTCTCTATTGGTTTTTTTATCTGACGTTTCTATCAAAAAGATGAATGGTTCATGGATATTATACGAGATCCCCGTTGAAATCCCACTGCTCCGGATTCTTAGTACGTGGTTTTCAGACACTATTTAAGTATATCTATTTGGTTGTACAACAGAATATCTACAGTAAAAATATCACCGTCAAATTATCTCCAATATAATATATATCTGTCAAATTATCTTCAATACGAAAAGGTATATAAAAAAGAAAACATGTTTTTATTGTCACCCAACCAAAGAGGTTCTATTATGGGTTCTATTATTATTTAGGTTATTAAAATCAAATAAAATAAAAAAAATGTTATTTTACGAGTAGATCTGATCACTTTTTAAACTGTTTACGTCTTAGCCATTATCGATATAAATCGTGTTGGTAAGCGGGCCATGATTGACGGAAGAACAAAGTACAATCATTATGATTATCTCTGAACGAGAAATTTTGACAGAGATATTTTTACTGTAGATAGTTGGACGAGTCACCACATATTTGACACACGTCCTAAAATATAGTTATCGCTAAATATATTTATAAAAAGAACATTAATCGAACATTTGTATAAGCCGTTACACGTTGTTTTTTCATCAATGTTTCGTTTAAAAGATTGGCCAAGGTCTTAATATAGAACGATTCGCAAAGTTATTAATATTGAACATTGATTAAAGTGTAGTTAACAACATCACTTTCACAGATATACTGAATGAGTATTTTAGCGGAAATTGCATATAAATATTTAAAATGTGAAAATATATTTAAATAAATATTAACTAAATTAAGGAACGGTATCGGGGGATGTGGTGGTATAGCCCTTGCAAGCCCGTGAATATATTACATAATTTCAGAGTCTTCCAAAATTTTGACTCTGGTTGCGCCAACGGTTTGTGCCATGGATTGTGCGATGATTTAGAAATTTCTTTAAGGCAGACCTGACAGAAACAAATACAAATGTTTGTTCGAACTGTCACACGTATTTAGCACAATACGGTTCATCTCCTAGTATGTGGCTGCCACGTTTACCCCGAGTTTGCTATCTAGTTGTCTTATGTATCGGTATATGGTTAAGCTATGTAAGTTGTATTATTCGTTTTATGCAATATATTTACTTGTTGTGCTATGTTGATTTTGATAAAATGACCTTGAATGACTCCGTAAATGATGATGGTGTTTATGCACACGGCCAAAAACGTATTGAAACCGAAAATCAGTCCGTAACATTTTTCATTTAACCGTTTGGCTACTTCGGATCTGTAAATTGTAACAAAAACAATGTCTTTTAATTAAGTATCCATCTAATAATAATAATAATAGATACGAAACCACGAGCGTAAAATCAATACACATTATTCAAAGGATAATATATAGAGACAATTGGGGATATTTGATTCGATGTTAATATTTGTTTGTTTTAAGAAACTTTATATGTAAGCTATTTTTAGAAAACAATGGATATTTTACAAAACAAAACAAAACCTTCTGTTGTTCGACCGCGACTCGTAAAAACGAATGGTATAAACTGAAGATTATATTTTTTGTTTTTAGATTCTGAACGGAGCGAGAAATGTATTGGTTTTACAATGATGTTTTTTATTTTTTTTATATGAACACTTTTTCTGAAAGGAAATGTTCTCTGGGTGGTACTTTAGTGAGGTCATTTTTTGAAATTCTGATTAATATTTAAGATAATGAGGAAAACCTGGTTCTTTTGGTTAAAAAAGATTGAAAGATTAAGAATAAAATTGTCAAAGTTGCAACCATTTTTATATTATTAAGTTTTTATTATTTTAATATTTTTTAAAAAATCATTGCTGTCATGGAAACGCGCATTGTAATAATATTTTACCATAATATGACATATATATTGTCGACAAAGCAACACTATCAACTGAACTCCGCTCAGAATCGTTTTTTCGTTAGCAATTGTTTATCGTTGCCTATACGGATATACATTGAATTCCCGTTTGTATACTACCTTCCCAACTTCTCACCTACAACAGCGATTGCACCCACGTGCGAAGTATGTCCGTTTTTTTTCTCGTTAACACAAATTCAAATATTATAATAATACTCACTCGGCAATAGTCAACATGGTCTGATACATCATCCCGTAAACAATGTAGAAAGCGTAGATAAACCACAAGTTTCGGCAGTAAACTAAACACAGCAATACGACGGTAGCCACGAGTGATCCGACCGCGAAGAACATGTCACCAACGGAATACCAGTTCCATTTTACTTTGCTTATGGTAAAAGCCGAAATAGCCCCTAAAAAAATATTTGTAATATTAGAATGTTTTCATATTGTATTAACTTATAACCCTCCCCCCATTTTATCCACTGAATTTACGGCAGTAAAGGTTTCGTTATTTTCGATATTGTTTAATTGATTATTGATTAAAAATAATCGTAAACTTCGAGTTTCTATCACAATATAATATTTGCATTTCCTGTACTTGGCGAATTCGTCAAATCATTTTAGCGATTTTTGTGTTCTTTATAGACATTTTACATTTTTGAATTGTTTTGGTTTTTAACCGATTTTATCTGAATAAAATTGTTCTGGCCGAATAGTAATACTTTACGATTTAACACGAACTTGTTATAAGTTATACTTGGCGGTAAAAAAAATGTTTACGTAATTTAGTATTATTTTTTTTTATTATTATTATAATATATAAGCGTTTAAAATTCAAATTTTGACGAAAATTATTACAATAAAATTTAAAAATATGTATAAACGATCTACACAGTTTGCAATAATTTATCACAAATACAATAACTAAATAACTATGTATCCCACCTTTCTCAACTTTTTACAACAACGGAACACCCGTAACCGGTATCTGCTCTGATTTTTTCATTTGTAGACCCCATCTGGGTATAATTTTCGTTTCGATTTAACCAGCACTCCCTCCCCCTGTTGGTAACATTCATATCGTTCGTTCGCGTACTTCAAAATAATTTCAGGGCCGCTACTGGCGTAGGGTTTTATACGCTTGTCGTTGAATAATCAAAAATTAAACAAAACCCCGACGCCGATTTTGTAACAGTATTATTGTTGTGTGACGTAGTACACACGTAGTATTGTGTTTCCATGACTCATTGCATGTAAATGATGTAATAATAATATTATATTCTGACAAAACTCCTGTTAACGTAGGGGATTCGACACTGAATTAGATATTATTATTTATTACGCGCGATCGGTATAATTATATCACCGCGGAGCATTAATAAAATTAGTGCTGTACACCGTATCGATTCGCATTTGTAAGTTTTTTTTTTTTTTTATCTCGGTATATGCGTAATATGTGTACAAAGTACGATATTATTAAATGCGATGCTTGGGATATCTATTTAAAAAATGAACCACAGTCGGTAGAAAAACACGCGAGAAGGCTTTGACCGCAGAAAATATGCTGAATTGACTTGTTTAATTTAGGCGGAAATCGGCGGGAAAACGTGTAGAGATTTGCGCGATCCAAAAGACTTTAAAATTGGCGACTAAAAAGCCGGGAAAATTTCGCGTACCTACTCGTATTATTGTGATTCACCAACGTGATAATATCTCCTATCTCTGTATTATAAAGATTGCCATTTCAATTATCTTTAATTGGGTATACTTACCTACATATTATACATTTTTTAACCGTCGCTTTCATAAGTTCTATCACACACGTGGCTACGCGATTTTAACATAAATACTATTACCTATATTTATTTAGCTGGCGCGCCGAAGGGAACGCATAAAACACAGGCCGCAATTGAATCGGGAAAATAATAGAACACTCATTGGTTTCTAAAATATTTTTGTTACCATGAAAAAAAAGATGTTTTTCGCATCGGCGTTTCGCCCCTTTTACCTTTTACCCGACACGGTTCTGTCAACAAACAAACGGGAGTTTATTTGCAATTAAAAGTCCGACATGAGTTGGAGAGCGAAGTGTTAGACTTCCCGGCTCCCGCCATTGGGTTTTTATCAATCGGTGCGCGAATAACATACCTGAATATTATTTTCCCGATTTATACTGCCTCCCCCTACCAATTCGATTCGAATTATATTTTATTATTTCAGCGAAACGATTAAGGTATATTTATACCACTTTAATTTATGTTTGTATTACGCAAGCTGGTGGTTTTTTTTTTTCTTTAGTTCAAACATTATACATATTTTATTTCGATTTATTCCGATTTCATAGTAAAGTGTTTAATATTTTCCCTTTGCCCATCTCTCCCACGAAATAAAAATGTTCATTGATTATAATATAGTTATACGTATAAAATGTATAGGTACCCAAAAGCGTGTTCAAAGATTCTGCGGCTCCGTTGTACAGTGTGAATTCAGTATCTTCGTTTTCTTCCAACACGTACGTGTAAAGTACGTTTATGTACGCGTAAACCTAGACAAATCGCGTTATAATAGAGAAATATTGCGGGTATCTCATTTTAAATATTATTGTTATTATTTATTATGTAGGTACCTGTAAGTAACCGCCCATCGCCACAGCCCACCAAAAGCAGAGCTTCCGGACGTACGGATCGGAATACGACTGTTTGAAATCTCTGTACAGCGTGTTGATAACGCTGTATTGTTCTTCAGTTTCTTGTTTTTTGGGATCTTCTACGACTTTCTATACGCATGAGCATCGACAATTGTTAAAAATCAATAATATTGTTAATTTCATGATATTATACTGTACTGTTTATTAGTAATTTAAACCGGATAATCGGTTAAACTAATGGCGTATTTACGATGTGGGAAATTTAAGGAGCAGTATAAACCCGATTTCAAAATGGGAATATAGATATATATATATATATATATATACCCTACCTCCTATTAGACCTTCTATAAGAGCTATTCAATTGCCGAAGCCCGGAAGGGAATGCGCGGAAGTTTAAGAAGCAATATCTCCTCCATCGTTCTTTGTTGAGTACTTATGTATTGTTTAAACGACCATCTATTTTTAAATTCAAATTTCTCTGCTTTTCAATAGCGAAAAAATCTAAAATACTGTGTAATATTTAATAGACCTGTGTTATCAAAAAATTCTGAACGTATATATTTATTCTTGTTTAAAACGAAACTCAGCTACATACAAACAAACCAATAAAATACGAAACAGGTTAGAAAATAGTAAATTAATGAATACTAATTACTTACCTATATATGTAGGTATACTAGGCAGTTATACTAATAACTAAAGACTGGATTTAATTGATATTGCAACTTGTTTTGCTTTAAAGATAAATCAGATCTGATTAAATACATAGCCGATAATATATACTAAAAATATTCCGTTTATTTAATTTGATAATGCAATTTTTTGCAATTTTCATATGTTTTTAAATCATAAGACGTTTATCGTTCGTCTGAAATTTTCTAGAAGCTTGAAGAGCCCAGCGAGCGATAAGCGTCTATATATTTATGGTGGTAATTAAATTCAACGTAGTAGTAAAACGATTCGTGTGCGTTTACCTGTTGGTACCTTAGTACCTATTTCTTTGATCAATTTTACCGCACAGCGAACGTATTCGACATAATGCCTAAAATAAAATCAACTTTAAAAAGTAAAATTTTGAATTGAATTGCTCCTTTCAATGAAAATGAAGAAATATTTTCATCGGATGTAAAAGTTATATATTGTCTCGTATGTAACAAATCTGTGTCTACTGAAACAAAATATCTATTAGATCATCATTCCAAAACAAGGAAGTTTTGTATTTTATTCTCATATTACACGTAATATACTACATAATATTTCAAAAATACATATATATCTTTTTTAGTTTAACACACAAATGTATTAAAAAAAAAACAGCTTTTGATTACTTCTCAAAATGCGAATAGTAAAAATTTATTTTATGAAGATTTATGTAATGCATATGTTGCTGCAAATATTCCTATACATAAAAACAATCATGCGTTAAAATATTTTTTGGAAAAACATACTGGAAAATCAACTCCGGACGAAAGCACTTTTAAGAAAAAATTAAATATCAAATATTTATAGAATCGTTATGGATCAAATAATTAGTGATATGAGAAATAATTACGTTTACATATTTTTTGACGAAACAACCGATCCAAGAGGTTTTTATAAATAATTTTTTTAATTTCTCATATAATATACTGTTTTCGTTTAGGTTTGGCTATTGCAAATTTATTAATTGGTAAATTAGATGCGACGCCTAGTAAATCATATTTAGTTGCATGTGAAGAACTAGAATCCACCAATTATGAAACTATTTGTCAGTTTATTAATTCCTCGTTAAAAATATTTCCTGGTATTGAATAAAAGTATTACTTTTTATTAGTGATGCTGGTACTTATATGATCAAAGCAGCAAAAACATTAAAAATATTTTTCCCGAAATTAATTCATAATTACACATTTGGAGTACGCAGTTAATTGAGTTCTAGAGAAAAATCGAGAATTGTATCCCGACATTAATGAATTGATTAACAATGGAAGTACCTATTTAAAATTTAAATACATATGTAACATATTTCGTTTATTTCAGGAAAATGAGCTTTCCTAAAAACACCATCGAGAATAAATAAATACAGAAAAGAAATGCCGGGAATACCTTTACCACCCGAACCTTTTATTACAAGACTGGGTACATGGTTAAATGCTGCACTTTTCTATGCAAATAATTTTGAAGCGTTTAAAAACGTGATTGAAAGTTTAAGAGATGATCACTTGTTTAAGTGTCGAAAAGCTGAAACAGCTTGTACAAAATAATGCAGTCAAGTGTGGTTTAGCATTCATAAAATTTCACTTATCCGATTTATCCATGAATGTTAAAAATTTGGAACAATCTAATATTGAATCACTGAAAAGCGTGGATATTTTTAGAAAAATTGAAGATATTTTAACATAATACTCCTGGTCCGAATGGGAAAAATAATTAAAGAAAAATGTATGTATATAATTGAAAAAAATGAAGGGTATAAAACTTTAAAGTCTTATTATAGAGTCATATCAGATAAAGCAAATATTAATTTAGATGTAACGCCTACTTTATTAAATTGCTTTAAATATGCAACAATAACTAGTGTAGACCTATGTCTAGAACATAGTTTTTCTTTGTACAAACATATTTTAAGTAATAGAAGATTTAATTTTAAGGAAAATAATTTAAAAATGTCTTTAATTATCAATTTTAATTTAAAAAAAGGAACATTTATCTAATTTTTTTTTACATAACTTTTGCATTTTTATAGTGCAATTTATTATGCAATTTGTACGTATTTTTTGGTTTAATTATATGATTTTAATATGCAATTTTTGTGTATTTGAAGTGCAATTAAATCCGGTCTTTACTTATAACTTATTAGATTTCAATTATAATTTTAGGACAGATTGAATAATAAATTGCTTATGAAAATATATAAACTACAAGTTGGTTTTTTTTTTAGCCTGGGTTAAACACGATACACAATGTACGACACGATTTTTAAATTTATTATCTCCCTCTTTGGGCAAAATTCTAAATACACCATATAGTGAAACCGACGATTAAATCGATCGAAATATATAATTATCATTAAAAAAAATATAATGTAACGTTTAATACGATTTGGAAGCTTTGTTATTAATACCTGTTCGATGGTAGCGGGTATTTCAATGCCGATTTTAGCTTGGTTGTACTTTTCCGGACTATAGATGGTCACGGTGGACTGTCCCATTGTAGTGTCGTCTACTTTTTTTCTTTTATGGAAGTAAAGACTCTGCTTTACTGGCGGTAAAAAGATCGCCCAAAGGGCCGTAAACGACATACCTGACAAAGCAAAACATATATTATAATAAAGAAATCTAAAATTTAAAGTTAATCGAATTTAAACACCATTTTATTTATTTATACAGAACATGGAATTATAGTATTTTATAAAAACAAAAATGTATAATGTATATGTATAATTGTGGTTTGTGGTTATAATTAGATATATAAAATTAATTTTTTTTTGTGTATTTTAAAACACTTTTTCTGAGTAAAACACTCAGATTTTCTCAAACATACTTTTAAAAATTGTGGGAAAAATGGGGAATTTCCACAGCGTGGTAATTTATTAGAACATAATTTATAGATATCAACATTTTTTGAAAAAATAATTTCAAATAACGGTTTATCGGTTTTATTTTTTTTCATATCTTGATTACCTTGGCTGCAACTTATTAGTTTACCGAACACCACTCAGAATCGTGTTTTGATCACAATGATCTATTGTTACTTTCAATAGATAAATTGCAATTTATTATCGTAAATCCAATGCCTTCTAAAATTACTACTTACAACAGTCAGCCACCATTGGTGTGAAACATGTATATGTTCAGGTATTTAAAAATGTATACTCATTATTTATTTAAAAATTCATTATTAAATCATTATTGTATGTTATAAAATATTGTAAAATATAATAGCCATAATTAAATGGCTATAGTGTTAATATCACCAAAGTTTTAGTACTAAACTATTAAATGCAATTTTAGAATAGCTTTTAGAATAGGCATGTGGTCCAAAACATATTATACACGAACGAAAATATATAAGAAGAATTTCAAATTTGTAAAATACTATGAAATGCCCAAGAGCTCGAAAGATTTGTTAGGTTCTTTTGCTTATTAATATTAGTCCTTTCCTCCTCCTTAAAATTCTAGTGGATTATATAAGAAGAGTGTCACAAAATGAACTTGCTACGTGTAAAAAATTAACAACACCGGCCTTGAATTGCCATGTTACAACGCGTTAAATTTTGTACTTATAAAATGCTTTCTTTAATTATTTCTATGGTAAAAAAAAAAAAAAAAAAATGCGTTTTACTAGTTTTTTCTGCATATTATCTACTTTGTGATGACTTAAGCGGTAAGCCAGTGACAAAAATTAAGTACACGTTTGGTTTTATTTTATCTATTTATTCGGTAGGTCATTTCTGGGCATGGGATGAGAAAAATCCTCAAATGTAATTTTAAAAAGATTAATTTTAACATGAAATTTGAAAATGCTTTATTAAACATTTGTTTGAACCTTTTTAAGGGCTTATTAAAGTGTTTATTTTGTGTTGATAGTGCTTTATAGATCCGACTCTGGTTATAATAATCTGTTATCTATCATCGAGATTGTTATCATATTATCGACCTTAGTCTTAAATTAAATATTAGTTATATAATTCTGTCGATTAGGTAAACAATTTTTCACATTCGTCCTTAACCTTAGAAAATATGCGTTTCATTATGATAATTATTTGTGTAATTCTTTTACGCATACTTGTCTACCTACAAGTTAATACATAATTTATACTTATGTAAACCGTTTCCTCACGAGATAAAAATATATTATAGCGTGTATACCTACGTATTATAGTAGGTATTGGTCATTGAACCGTTTGCGCTGTTGATGCATACTGGTACAATATTTGCTCCTGTGTACTATTTCTATGAATTTTTAATAAAACCGTACATATTCAAGACGGTAAAAATCTATTTTACAAATGAAATAGATATAAAATAAGTTTTATTTCCGTGTAATTAATAATAGTTGTTATAATATAACTTAATAGTTATATTATAACAACTATTAAGTTATATTATAACTATAATATTATATAATAATATTTCTTTGATACTTAACTTACGCAAGTATATTCTTTTTAACTTATTGGAAACAACCCACTGGCATAAAACTATAAATTTGGGGCGCCGGTGCCGTAACAAGTTTTGTTCTCTCATCTGTTTATCGATATATGTAATCAACATGCATTTTCTGTAAGACACTACCTATCATATCACGAAAAGTATTGACATTTAAAAAATAATAATAATAAGAACAAATAACAAGAGCAACATAACTGTTTGAAAATACGTAAATCGTAAAATTTAAAAAAAAAAATTCTTATTTATATTAATTTTAAATGTTTTACGGAATATGACTCACTATGAGTATCTATATTGTTTTTATTAGGTACGTTGCACTCTTATTATTGGCACGTGTAAAATCTAACTCTAGTCTTAATAAAATGCCTACAAAAATTGTACATAATATTATAACAATTTATCTATTGAAAAATTTTCTCATATTTTCATACTGTAAATGCAACTTGTGTATACGTGAGCTTTTTTGGGGCCCTCCAAGTCCAGGGCCCCGGGGTATCATCCCATAATTACGCTACTGAAACAACCACATATTAGCGGTTCGTACGCGCAACATTGTAATATTACGCAATTACTTAAATTTATTTAATTGTATATTATTTGCATAACGGACGAGGTTCACTTAACAATACAGGTGTAATGTAATCAACGGGGCGTCAACAATAAATATTGTACAATGTAATTTAACAAAAAAACGAGAACGAGGGGTCGATATTTGTGGATCGCCGGAGACGGAACGTGCAGGGGGCAATCATAATATGGAAGTTGGTAGGTGGATGAGAGATGCGAAGGAACCGTCGTAGAAAAAGCACTCTGAAATTCTCTCCATTACTAGTAAAGAAGAGGAGTCGATTTGATTGGCAGACGTTATCGGAGAGGAAACGATGGTTCGCCAAACGCCTCCGAACGTCGAGGCTAGAAGTTTATATTTTAAACGTTGACCTACTGTTATGCATTATGAACTGTACATAAAATAAGATAGCTAAATCGACGAAACGAAATTCGAATATATTATAATATTACGCTTGCATAGTATATTATGGTTATTAATCCATGTAATAAATTCTATAAATCTTCAATAATTAGTTTAATTATAGTTTAGAATGTATGTATATAGTTGTTGTAAAAATATACCAACATAATATTATAATATACCAATCGTCGACTGTTATATTTTTTAATCTATGATTTGTATTATTAATTGTAATGTTATTTTTACTTTACTGCAATTATTAATACTGTTGTACGTCATATAGATGCGCCGATGTTTAGTAATTTAAAACGCTCATATTAGTTTGTTTTTTTGTTTTTTTGTTTTTTAAAGATGTACCTATTATATTCCAAACCATCGCAGATCCACCGCCACCTATTTCCCTCTACAACGAGTCTGCATCGTATAAACACATTAAGATACGTATGTGGGAAGTGACAATTCTTGCAAAATTAAGGAATACAATTCGATAGGAAATTATTCGTATTTCGTTGAAAAAATAAATATCTATACCAATATATTATGTATAATGATTTGTCAAATGGTACCTTCCTGATCATTATTCAATCATATTAGTCTACGGTTAATATTTATCGTATATAGGTATTATAGTTTTTGAATTATCAACCTTGAATAATTAATGTATAAACAAAGTTACTTTAAAATCATTACGAAATCGCATTTATTAATCATAACATAATTATTTATTGTGGCGTTACTGAACAAAGTAGTATAAGTCGTGTTTTTTTCCTTGTTGACAAAATGGTTATCCAGAAATCAACAAAAATCAAACAACGAAAAACAGGTTATAGGAAATGAACCGAAAATGCCGAAAATTTCGATAAATTGAAACGTTTATATAATAAAACAAGTGTTTTCAAAAAACGTATGAAAATTATTATTATTTTTTTTTTTAGTATTACATTTATTATTAGAATCGTAAAAAGGCGTTTCAGCTACTTCGGAAGTACAAAAATGTCCGCTCTTAGGTAATCTCTACTCGGTCTACTCTATATATCTGTTCATTTCCAATTCAAGATTTTCCACACTTTTTTTGAAATACGCTCTTCGCCTGAGCCCGATTTTGATGACAAGCCCGAGCCCGATGGCTTTGCGTAATAGTAATTTATGCAGTTACGTTTTGTTCATAAAACTGTACGTACCGAAAATGGACATGTATACGAGCGCGTTGAAAGGAGGAGAACCGTACGCCATGGCGAGGAGTTGGGCGACACACGACGAGAAAAATTTCCCGCTCAACGTAGCAGCTCTCGCGTGACCGGTGATTTTTTGATAAAACTGTTTTTCCTCGATCATTGCGTACAAGTATCCGAACAGAGCGACTTCCGCGGAAAAGAAGAACCCGTAAAACGCCTGTCCAAACTGTAAAATAGTTTTCAAACACAAAAGACACATTTTTAGATAGGTAGGTAATTAATTCGATTTTGGTATTTTACTATTTCAATAAGATAATTATAAAACGAATACAAAATGTATACAAAAAAAATTTAAAAAATCGGCGTTATAAAGCGTACAATATTATTATCGTGGTATTTTTGTAATTATATAATTATTATTATTACGCCGGTGATCCACATAATTGTGCGATTTTTTTGCCATTGTCCAGCGATTATTTGTACGAATATTTTGAGCACAATAATCGATTTTCGTTCATTACAGAATCGTTTATAATGATTACATTTACAATGTTTTCAAAATTGTGTAGACAATTAATTACTTCAACATTTAAATGATGAATTTTAATTAGTCACATTATTTTTTTAAAAAATTATCTCAGCTATATCTACGTATACACTGGTGCTGTATTTGTATTGTGTAATTAGTGAAAATGTTGAGAAGTTATTGAACACCAAATTTGGGTTTTTTTTATTTTTTCATTATTAGTTTTGCACCAGTGTTTGACTGTGTTGTCTCAAATGTGTCAAACAAAATATATATTAACCAAACCGTAGCACATTGGATTGGCATAGGTTCTCTAATAATGATAAACGCACCGTACGATTTTCCTATCTAAAATAACATTATTATCTTATCAAACTGGGGTCGAGTCGGTCGCTTGTTGGACTGCTCGAATGTTCTACAGTTTTCGGCGATGGGAAATTAGCAATATATCTCTATAATATTTTAAAATTATTAGGCAATCGATTTACGTTTCATCCGAGTACAAAGTTATGCTAGTATAATTAATGAAAAACAAAAAAAAGAACAAAATCAAAATAGAAATAAACTTTAGAAATAATCAAAATATTGTGTAAAAACATGAATTAACTCTTTTTTTTTTTTTTATATGTAGAGAAAGAGAACCAATAATGATAGTTTCACGTTAGGTCGATACAAAAATCCACGATTTGTGATCGGTGACTTAAAACAGATTCAGTATGGTGGTAATATTATTGATATTATCACAGGTGCGACTATCGATTGTTACAGTCACCCTTATCACGTACCTATTTAATGGGAGGTAATCAATGTAAACGGTGCTTTTTGATTTTTTTACAAAAATTAAAAATCGCATTACCTATTTCAATAATAACCAAAGTTCTAAACACTCGAATACCTAAAAGTGATGTTCCAGCGATTTCGTGTGTTGTGTCGTGTCCACAGAAATAAACGCTGATAATACCGACAAATCAACCATTGATATAACCCAGAGTAGAGAAAATATAAGTACATCTCTCATCTATCGAAAATTGTAAATCGAAGAAAATCTAAGACCAATCGGAATACGGTAAAAACACAAGACACGACACACCATGTCGCCGGAATACCGCCTTAATACCTACCTATACCTTAAAGATGTACCTAGCTACCAGAAACAAACCAAGATCGCGTGATTAGTAGTTTGAATCACACGTTTGTAATATTAATGTTATTTCTAAAACGAACAAATTGAATTAAAACAATATATTATTGTATAGGTACCTATGTCAACGTTGTCTCTTTGTTTTTAATCTCAATGAACTTTGTAACTTATAAAATGACGACTTTTACAATAATTGACCTCGTATTCTGAAGAACATTTGTCTTTCTCGTTAGGCATAACGTTTATGCAAGTACCATATACTATCATATTTAGTTTATATATTATTATTTTTGCATCGTTACCAACAAATATCATAATGTACGCCTATAATACCCAACGCCTATAGGTAGGTAGGTACCTACCTCTATGAACTATCGTCACCAGTCGGTGTGTTTGATAACAATGAATAAAACAAAAGAAATTAATATTTTAAAATAAAAACGAATTAATACATTTATTTTATTGTTATTATTATTATCATTAGGTTACCTGTATTCGGAGTTTTGAAGGACGGTTCGCAATGGCGACGTAATGAAGTATTCCGCCGATTCCGTCAATAATTAACACCGGCTTGTACTTGACATAATCCGTGACCAAAAATATAATTATGATCAACACAAACATAGAATACGAACCCACGGCATAGAGTTCCTTCGGCACCTAAACATCAAAATAAATATAAATAATGATACATTTATTTTAAACATTACATATTGCGTTTGTACAACGGATATCATTTAAAGCGTAACAGCACTATTATCGTGCACGAACGTTTTGTATAACAATAATGTGACGGTTTTATGTTTCCATATTTTAGGTGCTTTACAATTTTAACACTGCACCCACCTACGTGTAGGAGAATAAATTATTTTCATATAAATAACGATGACGAAATTCTATTTAACAAATGATAAAATTATCAAATCATAAGGTAATGTAAATAAACTAATAATAGCGAGCAAATCTTGCTTATCGAACGTGATCTGGTTTCTATAATGTTTTTTTTTTTTTCCAAAAATACCGATTTCTTTATTCAGCGACGTGTTTACAATGATATGGATGATATTTCACCTGAGAGCATTTTTTTTTTTGTTTCGTTTTGAGCTTATATTTTCCCTCATACACAGGTTTTTAAAAGCCTCCTTGAAGTTATGTCTTCTTCTTTTTCTTCTTCTCGTTCGTCTTCTTCCCAACTATTTGGGATCAGCCATCCTCGTTCTAAACTTCCACTTGACCCGTTCAAAAGATCCTTGGTACTTAAAATTCTTAACTTCACCTATGACCGCTAAGTCTGTTTGTTTATTCCAGATTAAATTTTCGCTCATCAAAGCTATATCATACTTTATGATACTTCCTCTTTCCTCTCACATGTTGTCCCTACACATAACCCAAAATGGGACAATCCACCAAAGTCTTCTTTAGAACTCTTCATACTGTTTGACAGAATTTTGCTCCGGCTGTTGACCAGACACAATGCCATTTGTTATCTCTTATGACCGGAAATGTGCCATAGGAGTATTGGGAGATTATTTCCCCTCCCACAGGGAGAATGGTATTTTCAACTATAAAGTGAATTTCTCAACCCTACAGAAACAACATCATATGTGGAAATCACCCATCTAGGGTTCCTACTAGTAGGAGTTCGGAGCCCCTGGTTCGATAACCCCGTTTTACCTCCTAATCTTCTAGAAGTAATGCATTTCCATTATTGGATACAATTAAATCAATATATTTATTTAAATGCCTATTTTTATTAAAATATATTATTTAATAGTTCGTAGTTAAATTACTATTATAATTTTAGGGTAAAAAGCTAATTTAAAGTGCATATTTATAATTTTTTATAGATGCAGTTATTATATACCTTGGATACTTTTGATATTTTTAATGATTTGGTTGTTATTTGTTATAAACTATAATATAGTTTTATTAACTATGAACTCCTTGAAATATTTAGTTAAATCTTTTTTTCAGCGGGGTGATAAGGGTGGTGTAAGTGTGATCCATGGAGTAAGTAAACTCTAACGAGTTTTGAATAGTAAAAAACAAAAACGATAACTACGGATTAAATTTAAGCTGACCCGAATTATAAAAGTATTATGTGATAAAACTATATGTATAATAGCATAAATTCAACCACGATAAAAAAATATTTAAACTACATCAACATTTAATTTTAATATATTTAACAACTACGTGAGATTTGGAATCTTGTTATAACGAAGAAGCTCTATCTATGATTATTTTACCTAGATGCGTTCGTAAAATATTAAAATTAGAATAATTAAATATTTCTATAAGTAAATTGTTATAGCATTATTGTATAAAGTTCGGAAAATCAAAATATTATTCAGATAACGGAGAATAATTCTAATTCAATAAACTCCAGGTATGATGTTGACATTCAAAATTAATATCATACTTTACCTCATTATCCCGATGATTACAGAGATCGCCAATCCATTTAGTAGAGGAAAAAGGGTGCAAGTTCCCTTGGATTTTTTAAGCTTATATTACTAATTCAGTTCCCTCGCTGTGTTTAAAATTTTAAATAAAATAATACATACTAATTATTATAAATAGGGAAAATACAATTATAAGGTGCAATATTGTTTCTATATTACTGTATTGTTATTAATTTGTTAATAAATATACAAAACGTTACAGACTTAAAGTCTTTAAAATAAAAACTGAATTATGTTATCTAAATTGTATGATTTTGATAAAAAAAAAAAAAATAATGTTAAAAAAAATCTATTTTTTTCCACGTGTAGTTTTACTACTGCGAATTATTCACTTCTTTGACTATAAACAACAAATCAATTAATCCTTTTACAACGTATTAACTTTTTTCACTTTAATTTAACGCATTAAACCACTTGTTGTCAAGCATCAATTACCGATTATCCCGAGTTATTGTTTTTTACATTTTAAATTTAATTTAATAGGTCAAGAGAATATACGATGCTTTGTTTTAAAATTGTAGCTGATCGATTGAATTAACATTAGATAGACGCGCACCTAACCTAACCTAACCTTTGTGTTCGCTATTTTACGTTTTACTGTACTTAATTATGTTTTAAAAACTAATTAATTACATAGTACCTAAAACAAATATTGTGAGTAGGTAATTATTATTTTTTGATTTTTATTTCAAAATAAAAACGACGTAAACAGCGAAGGTTTTTTAGATTCATAGCGCAACGAGGAATGTATCGGTTTTACAATGATATGATTTTTATTTTTTTATTTCTTATTTTTTCTGTATCTTTACAATTTTCCATCAGAATCTTGTTCCGATTATTCACTAAAGGGATGATTTTTGTGACAATTTTGTCTAATTATTATACTTAGGAAGTAATATTTTTAATTTCCTTGCAGTTTTCTTTCGGAAACCGTGAAAATTTACGCAATTACGATTTTCGTTATTTTTAATTTAAATTTTTAATTGTAATTTGGTTAAAAATAATCACAGAGATTTAATATTTTCACAGAATACTAACATTAACAATTTATAGACGTGGTACAATGTTAAAATTATTTCATTACGCCAATGTCCCACTATATTAAAATTTTATATTTTAATTTATTAATAGTTTTACTAAGATATGTTTTTCTCGTAAACCCTTTTTCCATTAGTATCCGTCAAAATATTCACGACGTGTTTTAAAAATTGCGGATTTTTTTTACTGGGTGGAACTTTATTTAAAAGAATTCTTGGATTTATCAACAATTTTTTTTTTAAATTAAAAAACTGACTATAACGGCATATGTTTAAAAAAATCGTTCAAATATTATCCATAATGTTTAATCACTTTATACTACACGTTTTTACAGTATATAAAGTTATTCACTCAACTGGAAACACTCCTAATCTCAACAATTATTAAGTATTTTTGGAATTTTTTTTTTGAAAACTTCAAAACAAATAGTTCTAAAACAATAATAAAAAGTTAATACTTTTCAAAATAATGAGTGTTTCTAGTTGAGTGAATTACCCTGTAAATAATAAATTATACTGTATAAATTGTTCATGAGTACTATACTATAGTAGTTATTATTCGTAATTAGGCTATATGCAGTAGTTGAATTGAGTGGTGCTCAAAGAGATGGATCTCATCTATGTTTTTTTTATTTTTTTGGCGTTATTCGTATAAACACGAATATAATTGAGCAAATATGAGTTTAATAATTGCAATAAACACCGATTTTGTTTTAAGTCTCAGTCCCTCTCTTTAAATTTTTCAAATTCGAGTAATGGTTATATAGATACGGAATTTATGTACTTTCAAGAGGATGTTTGTATCCAAACACAATATAATAAGTCAGGGTTGTATGCAGGGAGGGTTTCGGGTGTTGAAACCTCTTCGTTGTTTTTTAGTTAGATAAGGAGGTTGTAGAATGTAAATCCATCAAGTCACCAGACTCTCCATAACCCCTCCCCCCTTAATAAATCCTGGCTAAATTATGGTTTTTAAACCGTTTTAAAATGTTTACATGATTATGATACATTTTAATTGCTAAAAGATTTTATTTCAAACCGTTCGAACGCCATCATATCATATACACGTTATAAATGATTTACAAAATATGTATACACTGAGTATATAAAACCATTAAAACACGTGTTTAAACTGTCAATAATATTATGTTTCGAAAATACTTCAAAACTATTGCACTAAAATACGATTTATGTAACCATTTTAATTAGGTACTTTGTTATCATTAAATTTATAAATTTGTTGTTATCATTTACGATCATTTTTCATTTAACTACAACAAAATAACAATAATCGAAATTAACAGTAACCGTTATTGCGTAAATATTACTGTTATACTAAAGATTTTTTCCTCCGATTTTTCACCATTATTAATAAAAATACAAGTAAAATCAATAAATGGATCCTTTCAAAACATCAACTAGCTCTAAAGTTCTAAAAGTAAGTCCTTATAGAGTTTTTTTATAGTTATTTAGGTATTTTGGTCAAAAAGTGTGGTTTACAGACACAAAAATAAAAATAAAAACACACATCATAGGTAGTAAAACGTTACGCAATTCTCAGAATTTAATAAAATCATTTTCTCCATAATAATTTTTCTATAAACTCAAATTTAAAAGATATCTGAATAAACCTAATAAATTGAATGATTGCATATCTAATATGCAAAAATACGAGTTCTATCGAGGGTTTACATTGTCAAATTATTGTTTATTATATTTCAGTGTGCAAGATTGGGCAGTATCGAAGATACAATAGTATCTTTGTATATCTTATATCTTTCTTAGTTTATGTAATGTATCTTATATCAAAATACTTATAATTACGAAATCAAGAATCTTTTCATATTAAAAGATGCAATATACCTACATAAATCATTTTCGGTATAATTACAAAAACAAAATTAAACTAATGAAAAATCCTATACGATCATTTATGTTCACTGTTAATAAGATTTATATAAAACAGTTAAATAACAATTAAATTACACTTAATAAATATCTAAATAAATTATTTATATAGGCAACCTAATTAGTAATTAAAATGAGCAATGAATTTATAAATGAATAAATTACATTATTATTAAAAGTCATAACAGAATTTTCGCCAAATCGAAGATTACGAAGATTAAAAATATCTTGCATCTTTTTTAGTTTTTTACTCTGTCTTGTAAAATGTATCAAAATACATTTTTTCTAGTGTTTTGCCCAACCTTGTCCGTATACCACGAAATATCCGACTAGCAAAATATACAAATACATAGTGTTTTAAGCGCGATATATAACGGGCGTAGGGTGTACGAATGAATTGTAATTGTTTTCGTCAAGAACAAAAAAAATGACTGAATATACTTGAAATAATATAACGAATTACCTGTTCTACTGTACAATTTATGTAAGGACTTGTCATGTAAGCCGCGTAAAACGGTTCGATCGGTCGGAATTCTCGGACAAACGCAAACACGGCGACAAAAAACGTAATTTTTTTCCAATTTTCCATTTTTACGCCGGGTATCCGGAACAGCTATAAAATATGTACAAAAAAATAATAATACCAACATTATAACACGTGTTTATCTATATTGTAATAATGGTGTTATCGTGCATGATAAATTAAATTATATTCCGGTTGTATAATTATTATGTGTGTATACTTATAACCTAACCTATTAATTAATGTGAATCACATTTTAGAACGTGATATTATTTGAATTATAATAAGTACAGCGGTTAAAACTCGACGAATGTCATATACGAACTGTATATGTTGATGTTAATGTATTGTAACATAACGGCTCGAAGAAAACTACGAATAATATATAATAACGTTCTTAACGTTGTCGTCCCAAGGAAAATGGGCTCGACACAAATCGACGTTTGGGATGTTTATTTACACAATGTTCACAATTTTACACATCTTTTATTACTCGGTCAGCGGTCTGAATTGCGCAAATGCATAAATATTTTGTGTAACATTGTACATGGTACAAGAAGTGTGCCTATATGTGTTTTCAAAATCGAATTTGCTTGTACATTACGAATAACTATACTTAACGAAAATCGTTGACTCGAGCTCTACTTGAAACGCAAAACTATTTCGTATTGCCGTCGGCGACAATAATAATTATGGTATTTTGAATATTATTATTATTGTTATTATTGTACACTCACCGGTTACTATTTAATACACACTTCGAAACAGCAAAAAGTCCGATCGAGTTCCTCGTTGGCGCTTGTTTGAGCAAATGTCTCGTTAACGGGCCGGGTTACGCGACTGAACGGTTTGCGCAGAGGGCGAGCACGTTTTTATGTATAAACACACATGACGGCGGACTATCGATATGCGGTTTATCTCGACGCGTATTTAATCCGCGTGCGCTACAGCAGAATTAACCTATTGTACAATATTAATAATAATATTATTATTACATCGATAACTGAATGTGCGTGAGACGACGGCGACGGCAACAATAATAATACTACGGAATTGTTATTATCTGCTGTCGGAGAGCGAAACCGAGGAAATATGGGTGAAAAAACACAAAAACGAATCACGCGTGCGGACCAGCGCACTTCGAATGCATACTGGAACCGGAGGAGAACATTACGTGCGACCGAGTCGACTCTCGCGAATGATCTGTAGGCAGGAACCTAACCGGTTTTATTATATTTTTGTTTTTTTTTTTTTTTTTTTTTTTGTAAACTTCGCATCGGTAGACTTCGACTCGTTAAAATAATTTATACATATTTATATAATGTACAGAGCGATCACGACACCGCTCGTCGAAAGACACCGCTCGTCATATCATGTTATTACATCGTTTCTCGGAAAGCGTAGACTTTTTTCGGAATTTGTTTTTGTTTTGTTTTTTTTTTATGGAATTTTCAGGAACTAACGTTCGTTCCGTGTTACCATTATTTTTTCGACTATCTTGTCTTCCGGTGGTGAAGCCTTACTACGCACTTTGGATCAAACAGAAATCTATTCACAGAAAATAATTCCATAAACAAACGAAGGTTTAAATTAATTTCGGTGTCGAGCCGTTGACGCGAGATATTTTACACTATTTTTTTTATCGTTTTGCGATTGTCAATGTTCAGAGGGGGGGGGGAAGAAGAGAATAGTAAAACGTCGTTTTTGTGATGACATTTAAACTGCGCCTCGGTATAATAATATTGCAGTATAACACTCTATTCCTACAAATCCAAAATCTATTCAAACTAAAATTTCATCTTTGTGTGTATGGCATTTTTCATCTAGGTAGCTATTTGAAAATCAAAAGCGGGTACCTAGTGCAGTGGTTCTCAACCTTTATTGGTTCATGTCATTCCCTTATCCACAGTAATCCAACACTAAGTCGCACTACCAATGCATAATCCATTGAAATTGTAGGAAATTCTAGCACCGGTATCGTTGATAAGTGAGTGATAAAGAGTGAATATTATGTTGTTCGGACGGCGACGAAAAAATACGATATTATTTTCAAAAAAATTAAAGGTTCTCTTTTTTTTCTTTTTTTTTCCCCCGATTATTTCGTGTCACCTTAACATTGGGTCCATGTTACCCCAGGGCGACATGTCACCCAGGTTTAGAACCATTGAGGAGTCCTAGTGGTTTCATCCGCGAAAATAAGAGTGACGACATTATGTGACATTGTTTCTTCAAAATATTTCTAAAAAAAAGTAATAATGCTTACCGAGATTGTTGTAAATTTATTAAAAAAAAATTTGGAGGTTAAGACGATCATTCTGTATATATATATATATATATATCTCACGCATGTGTCCGTAATATTTACTCGTCCGCGCACAAATACTAATACGAATTAATATAATAACAATAATGGTAATAATAATAATATGCAGGCAGTATAGATAAAGACTGTGTGATAACAAATTTTATTGACCTCGACGAAAAAATATTACACACAAATTATTGGGTACGTCTTATCGTTTTTTTTATTAATTTAATTATAATAATAATATATAATATTAATTAACATCACCATCGTCGTATGTATAGTACGGTTTTTTATGATTAATTTTTTTTCACGTTTGGTATGTCACCAGTGATTTTATTTGTACGGGGTCATATTTTCGAATCGTATCCATGCGTATACCTAAAGATTTTTATTTTTTATTTTTATTTTACATAGGTATTATAAACAAATGGCATGCTTTTAAATGACGAGCGGTCGAAAAACAGTTGAAATCAAACGTAAAAATGCGTATCGCAATCGCACAATTGTTTGCAAAGCTTCGATTCCAACGATCCGGCACACGACATAACTTTATACACTTAAAATCATCTGAGCAGGAAATTAAAAATAGCCGATATTGGGGACGGGCGTGCCACTGTTGTAACTGTTAGTGGTTGGAAACGTTATAAGGTACATAAAGTTATTTAATTTATACCTGTACCTATACAGCGATAAACCATTTTTATCGAAAAACGATTATTTTATTTTCTCATTGCTTTTATTGACGACATAAATGACATAAGTTTAGATAAATCTTCGAGATCTTAAAACTCGTAAAATTTGGAATAAAATATCTTTATTATCATACTTTATGTGACTTAACTTGTTTGTACTAAATATCCAATTTTAGATTCTGAGCGGAGCGAAGAATGTAATTGTTTTACAATGTTGTTTATTTTTTTTCTGTGAATAATTTTTTTACCAACAATTTTACTCTAATTTTCAAGTATAGCACTCTTTATGAAAGGAAACTTTTATAGGGTGGTACTCTGTGAAGGCCATTTTTTGATTTTTAGAGGGGTTTTCATAATAAATGAGAAAAAACGGGAAAATGTACGAAATGTATTATTTTTATATCGTAAATACTACAGCCTTTCAAAACGTGTATAATCGAATTCCGCTCAAAATCGTTTTCCGATAGCAATGATTAATCTTTGAATATATTTATGAATATCTTTGATATATATTAAATTTCCACTCTGCGTTCCCAATTTTTCATCTATAACAGTGGCCCACCCATCGTGCGAAGTATGTCAATTTTTTTATTACAGTTTTACTAATTAATACGCAACGCAATGTATTTATTAATGATATATTTTCTGAATAATTTATTTGTAATTTTTTTGTGAACTACCTAATATAATACTTAGGTACCTAATGAAAGTGTTGGGAAAGTTCCATTTTTTTTTTAGTAATTAAATTACGTTACGTTACCTATCAAAATTGTCATTAAATTTATTTTAAGTTTTTTTTTTCAAGTTACATTACTTTTGAGTAGAAAAGTAATTTCATTGCAATAAAAGTTTTGCAATTACTTGTAGCTGGGAGAACACACATGGGCGCAACTATAGGGTAAAATTGTTTGGAATGCTAGAATGTTACGAGGTTTGGCTATTAAACAACGAGACTGCGCGCGCAAAGAGCGTCCCAAAAAGGTTAGGGGAAAATCGAATACAGCGCTGGTTAGCTGTAAGTGTCTATTATACCAGTAAAAAATTGGGTTTTTGTTGGTGCATTAGTATTTTTTCTGTAGCATTTAGAAACGAATATGTTTTTTTCTCTTGCCGAAAACGATGTGTGACGAAAAACATGAGCAACGGATAAACGTAAAATTTTCTCGTTAAACTAAAAAAAACTCCAACTGAGTGCTATANGAATGAGTTCGTAAGAAACGGTCGATATTGTGGAAAAACAAGTCGTGGATCTTGCACCAGGATAAAGCGTGAAGCGTTATTTGGCCGCTTAAGGCACTCCAGTACTCGAACACGCGTCTTACTCACCCGACTTGGCACCCTGCGACTTTTATTTATTTCCGAAGATAAAGTCTGCCTTAAAAGGAATCCGGTTTGAGTCGATGGAAGAGGTGAAACAAAAATCGGAGGAAACTCCTGAATGGTCTTACGAAAACAGACTTCCAGCACTGCCTCAAGCAATGGAAGAAACGAATGAAACGATGTGTGAAGAGGGGAGGAAAGTATATTGAAGGGGAACATTTGGTTGTGGAATAATTTTTAAAATAAAACCATTTTTACATAAGCAGTCTCGTTATTTAATAACCAGACCTCGTATATCCTCAACAATAGATCTGTTTATGAATACGCATTTTCATTCAATTATTTACATTTGTGGGTTTTAATGGGTTTTTAAAAACCAGCATTTTCTGTAAATAAATTTGATCTTAAAAAAAGAGAACAATGCATATACTGTATATTTACCTGGTAATCTTAGCTAAAACGGCTTTGCTGCAGTATGTGTGTGTACACTCTACTCTTTTATCTATACATTGTCACGGTACTAGTTAGACACGTCAATATGTACTAAAACATTGATATTGAAATTTATCAGATACCTTAGTAACCTTTATGTGCTTATCGTTTTACTAATATTTTGTTATTTAATATTACTATCGGTAGATAAAACATGTATAGGTGTATTACTAATAGATTACTTTATACTTAAGTACAATTACTTGAAGGCATCGAATAACAAAATTGATGAATAACATAAAACACAAATATTGTGTAATAGCATTGGTATAAAATGTATAAATTTAAATTCAGTTAAATGTGTCTAAAAACTAGCTTAATGGAGATACCGCATTTTGTAAAGTTTATTTTGTTTTTAATACACAATAATACTGGAGAAAAATTCAGTATCTCGTTGAAAATGAAAAAATAAGCAAATTAATAAACTAAGTATAAAAAAAATCTGTCAACAAATTAAGGATTCCTATGACTAATAATATGAACGCAAACAAAAGTGAGTAAAAACAATAATTTCACGGTAAAAAACAAAGAAATCGGAAAACTCATTTGCCCAACGATTCAATTATTGGAGATACATCCACTAGGCGGGCGCAGTAATATTGCAATATGCGGCAGACGCGGTCGACGACGGCCACTGTGGGGCCATATTATAAATATTTACGGCTTCCATTCGCCGTAATGCGATCGCAATTATTGTAGTTATACGCATCCGTCGTGATTCTATAAAATAGTAAAATTACATTGAATAAACGCGGGTGCCTGAAATGCAGTAAAACGAAACCGAATTCTGTTATTACTTAATAAGATAAATGTGTCCGCTGAGTGGGAACTAAGATAATGCGGTCCGGCTACCACATAGATATCGAGTGCCTCGGTCCGTCAATACCCTTACCCTGGACAGTGGATAGCCCACTGCAATAGAATCAAAACTTCTTTCAATGTGAACTATATAATTTTATGTCACTATGATGGGAATAATATGTCGATTTTACGTAAATCGCGATTTATGTTTAAAACAAAACAACTCGATGTTTGTGGTATTGCACATAGTTATAGGGAAAATCGAAAATACCGAGTTCATACTCATACTGTATCCAGAGACAGATTCTAAATCCAGAGACCGGAGAGGCGCTACAGGATATTTTCTATAATTTTAGAGGCAGCTAATATTTGGAACTACTTTATTGTATATCAAAGCCGCTCTCTGCACTTGCATGATTTATTTCATACATCCTGTCCGTGTATGCAATGTATATACTATTTTTTTTTCATAATAGGTTTATAAAAACTTGATCAATCACCGAAAAAATTTAAGCGAAATTTAATTTGATTTTAATAACGGGATTTAACCATATCAATTTTATTTTTATATTGTTTTAAAAACTGTATAAAAAAAAAATAATAC